TTTTGAAATAACTTGTATAATCAGTAAAAAGAACATTTTTTACAAAATTACAAACCGGATCCCAGATGTTATAAGTAAAGATGGATAATGGCTAGCAGTGGAATCCAGGATGCGCGTTCCGTCCTATTTGGGACTCATCAGCTGGATGTACCTGCATCTCAGAGTTGATGTTCACTCTGGGACTCGATTCCAGTACCATTCGCTTCAAACGCCATCGCGTTATCCACTTAGCTACTGAGTCCTGATAGCTATTTGCTTGTGCAATGGAGTGAATTTAAATTCACTTGGTGTTGTTTTGCTTGTATCTTCCCATAGAGGTTTAAAACTGCAATTGATCAGTCTATTATTGGCATATGTGCATACTGTGCGTATGTCTCGATATTACCTTAATTCACAAGCTTTTTGTAAGTAATGATGGATAGTGACTAGCAGTGGAATCCAGGATGCGCGTTTCCCAGTTGGTACTAAAATACTATGAAGTCATACGTAGTATGAATCAAAAGAGTAATATTTTACTTCGAACTATTCTGATTTTATGCGAATTATAATAAGTAATTAATGGGATATAAAATCAATATTTTTCTGCACCCAGAACAGTGATGGAAATAACAACGATGAAATTGATGATAATGAAGAAGAAACTCCAGTGCAATATATTTATCAATAGTGCATAATTCATTGTACTATCAAACACAGTTTCACGTCAAAAAACAACTATAATTTTATTCATTCATTGAGAATAGTGACTTCAATGAAAAAGAGCATTCCATTTTTTTGTGATAACAGATTATGAAAGTATTATACTATGTTGTACACAATTAAGTGGTTCGTTTATTCTGTAGTTAATGAAATTAAAAATAGATTATTTGTAGAAATTTCATCTCGGCATCATGTGAGGACCACAAATGAAGCAACGTAATCTATAGAGATAGGTTTGGATAACCTGTTTATTAAATAAGCAAGTTACTTTAAAAAACGAAATGATTTTCAGGATGTTACTGGTTAATGAACACTCGATAAACGTTTCTCTTGTTCAATTTACTCCCTAAACTCTTACAATAAGTACAGCATGGTAAATAGCTTTCCTTGTAAATCATAAGAAACCCTATCCACAAAATTAACACTCCTAACGAAATATATCAATGTTATGAGGTCCTAGAACTCATTCACATGACTTAAGCACACTAAGAATTGTAACCATTCCAAAGTGAGTCTCGTAAAAATGAGTTAAAAAGGAGATCGACATCTCAACAGTAAGAATACGAAGTCTTGATTGGTCATGGTGCTGAAATGCTTACTAATATGCAACAAGAGATTACAGGATGATCTTCTAATCCATCTCTGTTAAACCGTCTCAGTTGGAACACTATTCGCTGACACTAGTAGAGCTGTTGGAGTCTTTTCAGAATTACTGAACAAACTTCCAGATAAGCTGTTATCCAACCTTCAAGCGAATAATCGTAAACTGATTATTAATTAAGATGAAATGTACATCTACATCCATGTAAACGTGTTAACTGAACTTTCATAATAATGGATATTTTGATATCTGTTTTATAAACATTGACTAGCACAATCCCACGTTGATACAAGTGAACAGAGAATGGAAGATAGAAAACCAAAGTTATCTATTTAAGGTTTATGATTTCAATATGTTTTGAAGGAATACCAATAAATCAATCAGTTAACTATAACACTTCCTAATGTTGCACATCATATCATTAACTCAGGATAGTCTAGATTCTGGAAAACATATTTGCTAGAACATGAAAGGCTGAGAGTAGCAAAAAATCAACTCGATGGTGTGTTCAAGTTAGACATTACGCAGATCTTGATTATTTTGATCAAGTGATTTGTGGAAAAAATCTCTGACCTACAGAAAATCCATAATCCTTCGCTTCTAGCATTAAAAAAATGAATATGAGAATAAAAATTTCTGGAATTAAAAGCTTTGTGTTCATAAACATTTCCACACACCTAAACTATCTAGTAAAAAAAAGCAAATAAACTAAGATTTGAGTAAGCGTAAGAACAGCAATTACTGAATAAGATAAAAAAAGGACTTCAGTTTATAAACTAATTTAATTGGTATAATATTATAAAAGTTAATACTGATTTAAAGCCGATTGCGAATATAAATATACGTCTCGAATGTATTCGCTTACATTGGCAAACGGTCGCACTTATGTGTTACACATTATGTTACGTTTTCATTAAACAGTGAAGACCTGGATTATGTATATACCTATACACAAACACGCTCACTTAAGTCAAGATGATTCATTTAGCTAATAAATTGTTGGTTACATACACTGTAACAATAATAACAAACGAATTAAATATTTTCACTGTTATTTTCATCTTGAAATTTGAGTTCAACTATCAGAAGTGATGTCAATATTAGAAGTGGAATGAATAACTGAGTGAACCAGAACACATTCATTTAGTCATCTGAGCCTACTGAATGGTGAAACACAACATGATTAGGTGACACAAATCATTGAGTTTAATATTCCTTCTTAATCAACAACATACAGATACACGGTTTTCAGGAAGATAACAAATAGATAAATAGACAAACGGCGTTTGGACATACATACAGCCATTTTTAACACATTCGTTCTCTTAGCCAGTAATGATTATTAAACAGTTATGCATTATATTCTATATAGAATCAGTTCAAAGAGGAATCTGTCTGACTGAATCTCTATCTCCAATTATCTGAAAGCGAAACAATATTCATCCACCGTTTTTTGTAGCTGACTACCTAAAATAACATAATTCTTTTTTATGTTTTTGATAATTTCATAATTAGGGGTTGTTGGAGTTTGATTATGAAATGAATGTTACACTTCTAAGTAGTTGTATGATTATTTATATTGATTAGATCTACGTGCTTTACAAAGTCGTTTGTGGTCTGTGTATTCAAACTTTTGAATTGTGAATAGACAGACCTTGTTAGTTTTCCATATATTGTAGAATAATGTATTAGATAAGTATTTTTGTAGTGAATAATTTTGTTTACTGTTAGACTAAGCGGTAGGCAATCAGAAATTCCTGTAACATATATTCATTATCACACCAAACTATATACAGGAATTAACATTTGCATTTTATAGACCAAAAGAATAACTACCATGATAATGAACTCGTCATAAAAGTTTTCATGATAATTCGACATTCGTAAAACAGTCGATCACAAAAATCATATTTCAGAAGATTCACATAACATAAACTAAGAAACCAGGTAATTCATTAATTTATTGTCTTTATTTAGTAACAAATGATAAAATAGTGTGGAAAAGTTGAACATATGGATTTTGAAATGGATAATGAATTCAACAGGTTTCAAGCACTGACAGGTACAGACCTCGTTAATCATGTACGTGAGCTGAGACGCTAACTAACGAAATATAGATAAAAACTTTTGCGAAAACAGTAGAAATAATTTGCAACAACTCTGGTCTCACAACCGAGGAGTGTCAAAATATCGAGAAGTTGTCAACTGAATAAACCCTTAAATATGACAGTGTTATCAATGCAGCATTATAAGCTTTTAAAATATCTGAACACAACCGAAGAAAACTGGTTAGCTATGTTTTATGCTTTTGTAGTACATGACATTTCCGGGATCAATGGAATTAGACTTATGTCAATAGAACTGGTCATAAGAAGTGTTTTTGAATCATGATGTTATGGTGAATGATTACATTTCAATAGAGTCGAACATTACATACAAAACAAAAAAGACGGGAATAATCAAGAGTACAAGTTGTCACAGTGTACAGGTATATATATAAATATAGCTCTTTCCAGTTTACCTACATTTGCATTTATTGTTAATATTATCATAAAATTTCAAAGTCATAATTAAAATGAATTGGTTTATAATCTCAATATTTTATTAGCGCAATCATCTAATAGTATAATAATCATCTTCATTTGTGTTTCATCGTTGATCAGAAGGAAGTTGGGTCAAATTATTGAGTAACAGAATATATGTGATACAATACAGTTAATTAAATTAATAGATTATGCTTTTCCATACTAAAAGCAACTCAACGTCGTTCACCGAAAACAATACCTAAGAACATTTTTTCTGATGAAATGATATCTCTAAATATCATGTTTTAGACACAATTTTTGACCAAAATGTCAAGAAACAAAATAAGCATTTCAAACAAGAATCTATTTTTTGTAAGTAGAACTTTGTATCCAACGCGAATTCCGCCGATAAATTAATCAGTACTAGAGATAGAGATTTCTAAATGAATAACTACTAGCTATTAGATAACCAAATTTTTACATTTCGAAGAATGTATTATGAAAATATGCGATTTCACATATCATTGAAGCTAACAATATCTATTAGTCTCATTTCATTATCTAACATGTACAAGTCCCTCTTAAGACGGAAAACCGAGCAAAAGCAATATTTATAAATCATGAACTTTTGAAAATTGTACTAATATATTTTTCAGCAGTTTGGATAAAAAGATCATATATATGTATATAATCAGTTACGAAATTACAGATATATATCCCATTATTTGTATACATGTATTGAAGTGTAAACATTTTTGTAAATAGCATAATTATATATATATATATATATATATATATATATATATATATATATATGCGTATAACTGTATTTAAGTATAATACGTAAAAGCAGAACATGGAAAGGAAAACCTAATAGCCATCAACAACAAAAATGGGGCAAATTAACAACTGATCAGAAAAAAGAAGCAAACAAACAAAGTAATACATTTTAACAAAAGTGACTGAGCTCAAAATAAGACAGTAGCAATATACTACCACCACCTCTGATTCATACATACATGGAAAGTATAAACAGTTGAAAAATGCAACGAAACATTTAGAAAACAAAACAAAACCAAAAAAAACAGAGTATAAATAAATCAATCAAAAATTTATTACTAAATAATAAATTTGTTACGAAACGGAATTATAATAAATGTGCACAAGGTAATCATCATTAGTAGATGTTGTTTTATTATCATCAGCAGTATTGCAAATGGTGTATACATGCACACAATAACGTTAACTATAGTTATTTTGTGCAGAATGTACAAATTCCAATGTTGAATGTAACAAATTCAATAATTAAAAACAGAACAAAATGGTAGAGATCAAGAGAAATAATATGAATAAAGCATTAGCTATTATTTATTATACAACTGAATATTGAATGGAACAAATAGATAAACTGGTTTACAAAAGGAAAAATGGTTTGAATATCTCTCTGAAATAAAACAAGCTGTAGTAGATCGAAACACTTAATTGAACAGTCAAACAAGAGACAGAGAAAAAAAATTAACATTTAATTTTATAATGTATTTCTTATAGTGTATTGATCGCTTTTTAACTTCTCAACGACTAGACTTTAAAACAAGAACAAAATCAGCAATAGAATGTCATTAAATATCAACTACATTATACATAAACAAATAATAAATATATGGGATAAATATTACATTGAGAAAAAAAAATGCTGTTATATGACATAAACAAGTTTGAGGGAAAGAATATCCCGGAGGAGAAATACACACAATAGTATTATTCAACTTAATTGTTGAGAAATATTTATTTAGAGAAAGTTACCAAACAGATTTTGTATGAGAAATTAGTGAGTTCACAGCATAAGCCACTGGTTAAAAGATTAAATGCGCTCCAACTATTTTCTTTATCATTAGCCGTAAATCAAGTTTGAATGATCAACTACATATCCATAGAAAATACATAATGTATGGGAAAGAAAAAGAGAGTAGCGAATACCACATCGAGGTAGTTGTTCTGAGGAACAGTACACCTGAATTAGTTACTACAGCTGCACTGTAGGTTAACAAACCACGTAAACCTACATTCATACTGATATAAACAAAAGAATGTGCATGAAGAAAAGGTTCAACCGGAGTTAAACACAACACACGAGAGAATAAGAGAAAGTAAATGTGTAAAAGGACATAAGAGAAAAAAACCCACATGTAATTACATTAGTAGAAAACATTATAATGCGCAAACAGCAAATACACAAAAATAATTTAGAAAAACGTCAAGAAATTTGCAATGAAACATAATAATATCCAAAAATACAAACAAGCAGACGTATCTATTCAACAAAATAAGTAAATTATGTACATATGCATATATATAATGTCTGAGGAAGAAATTTTAACATTTTCACACAAACATAGTACGTAAAAAACAAAATACTACTACCAGAGTTGAAACATTATATATCATTGTGATAGATATGAATATGAAAAATTATTTATACACCTATACGATTATGTACCGAATTAACAGGTGGATGATTGATTTTAGTAAGGTGATCACAGTCTGTTCCGACAATACTATTATTATCAGTATTTGTTATTTGAGAATGCATTGAATTTGTGTCATTAGACTGTTGATTTGATAAGGAAACTGTAGAATTGTCAACCAGAGGATTAATTGAATGAATCGACTGGAAATTCGACTCTGAATAATAATCTGGTCTTAGCTGTACTAAGTGCATTTTATTAGGCTTACGACGGCTAGACCCACTAAGAGTAATAGTTGATTTGTTTTGTGCTTCAAATACAGGTGTATTAGATATTTGAATAGCTGGAAAGGGATTACATAAGCCAGGGATATTTTCATGAGAACTATGAACAGAAGAAATACCATTGATTTGCAATGGATATACAATAAGAGTATTGTCATCATCAGCACTATCATTAAGCCGTAATATTTTAGCTGGTCTTGACAAATCGAAACTATTATCACTTAATTGGTAATCAATTGAATTGTGGAAAATGTTAGTTGGTATTTTGGGTAAATCCATATCATCATTATCAACGACACTAGAATTTCCATTCACCTCTTCACTTTCATGTTCGTTAGTCCCATCTTCTTCTGGTAAATTCCCTCCTGTTCTGTTTGGATCGGTGGCTTCGCTTTCATCTACGATTCCAGCATCTTGAGCAGACATCTTGAGTAAATCGAGAAAAGAATTACTTAATTATTAAATCACTCTCGTAAAAAAGACAAATGACATGAAATTATCCTTTAAAAGATAATATTTTACTACAAACTTTTTGAATTGTGACCGAACTGTGTTCGGACGTATTAATAAGCAACTCGCGAAAACAGAAATTTGTATGAAAGTCGACACAACAAAAGTTATTATTATACTTATAACCCAACAATATTTGGTAAAATACAATACCAAGAAACATGTCACACAGAACTAAATCGCAAAGGTGTGTGATAAGCATAGAATCCAATCCACATGAGAAAGTAACCCAGACACATTGTATTTGTAAATCTATAAAATTACATACTACTACTTTATGAAGAACATGACATCATATTAGTCATTAGTTTCTGTTCTAAAATATTCGAATTCACCGTTACGCATAACGTCTACGTCACCATTCTAAGAGTTACCTGTTAACAGATGTTAACCTATAATAATGAACATTCATTCGTAAACCATTCAGTCTTTACAAAGTCGGTGTCAGTAAACAGTGGTTAGTATGAAAGCTACGAAGGTGACGTGAATAGAACTTGTTCAAAACGGCATTATTTACTGAATGATTTCCACTATATGCAAGCGTACAGCGACATTAACAACATTACTCATACAGTGTTGCCCACAACTGAAATATTCATTGAATATCTTTAGTTAAAAAAGAGCAAAATTTTACTTTCAAAACTATTTCTACCATGGCGCTGAATATCCAACTTTTAGAGTAGCATATGACTGTCTTGCTGGTGTTATTTATTAGTGTACCAAAAATATGTGTATCTGTATCAGGAACGAGACAAGTAGTTGGGAAGGATTTACAATTCTATCACGATTTCAAACAGTACAGTAACATTTTGCTAACATATCAGGCCAGATTCTTCATGTAAAATTTTATATACGGTTTAGAAAAGCTTTTCAACAGTTGCCTCAAGGTTCCCAATTTGTGATTTTAATCAAGTAAATTTCACCATTCAGTTCTAATTTTATTGTGACAATTATTGTTTGAAGCTTAAACAAAATAGGTGGATACATACATGCAAATTTTAAAAAAAAATTTTGGAGGGAAGAAATAAGGAAATAAAAGGGACTGATTTATTGAAAATATATTTTAAACTTAAAATGGGCCAACCCCATGATGTGTTTAATATAAATGTTTAGCGACTAGAACTGTTATACGCCCTAATTATTACGTAACAAATTATCATGTGGATAAAGTCGCAAATAACTTGACTAAAATTATTGGGTTTCATATCTGCTGTGAACACGGAATTATAGTACCTTAATGTAGTCGACCAGCCATATGCAACGTAGAACCTGGTATGTGTATGGTGATTGAAGCGATTAGGCTCTGAAAATACATTTCGAGGAAATGTAAATCAGTGAATTTAGAAGCATGGGATCTAGAGGAATACAAAGAATGAGTAAACCTGTTCTATTGTAAATGATTTTGAGCTATACTACCTGATCTCCAACTAATGATCACGATAATAACGCGGACCCCAACCAAGTAGTATGCACCTACCCTCATAACTCAATCTAACAGTGTCCTCATGAACTAATGACATGTCTTTTTTTGGTCGCACCAAACTTTATTCCAACCTTTTACACCAACTGTCGACGCGTGTTTGGGTAGCTGTTAAATGAGCATACGTAATACATGTCCTAATCATCTTCATTGACAAATATTAGCTGCCTCATCAGTCGATCTGCAATTCTTACCTATTACTCTGAGTCTAACCTCAGAATTGCTAATCCTATTATTCCAATATAAGTGAGAAGTGTCTCGAAGGGATTCATGATCGAGTACTAGTAATCTCTGATAAAAGTGGTTTCAAATTAAATCACTGAGTCAATAGTACATAAGCCAAAAACCAGGATCAAAGCGCTACTACTAAAAAAGCTTGTTTAAAAGCAAGTCAAATTAACCAGTACACATAATGAAAATTATGATTTAGTATGTCGATTTGAACAGATTACAAAACCAGTTAAATCCTAAAGTAAATGTGTATTTCTTTTGCCATATATACTAACATTCATGTGAGAGGTCATTTATTTAAACGAAATACTCAATTTTAAAGAAAACATGATTTTTTGCCCATTAGAAGATTTTTGGCACCTAATAAAATATTTTAGGGATTACTGAAACATTACTTGATGTAGGCCTCGTCTCTGTAGGTTTAAAAATAATTTGAAATGAGAACTCTACAATCTCCACGAATCTCTTACACTAATAACAGTCATTAAATTATCTGACTTTACCAATGATGGATAAAAGCAAAAGGGAAAGATAATCTATTATAAATAAATATGAACCATTCAACGAATCACAGAGTGAACATACATTTGAAAAAAGACAGTGATTGGTGGATTAATTTTGATTAGAAAATGCCCATTCAACGATAAATAATCAGTACATTATTAAAAGATAGTGAGCTGTTAGTTGGTTAGCATTATTGTAGTCTTTGCTGTAATACATTTACAGAAACCAGAACTGTGTATACGAAAAGCAATTACTTAATTTTCCTCATTCTATTATAGTCTTAAAATGTAGTTTTCCAAGACCACTAACCTTTCATTCTTTTCTTCTCTGGTGACGTTTTAATCCTAACCAATATCTTTTCTTTCCAAACTCACTCTGATTACACTTTGTTTTAATCTCAACATTTTTAATCATGTTAACCAACTCTTTCTCATAATTATTATTCTTTATTTAACGCCTATGATATTCTTGATGAATATTTAAGGCCTTGAAAACCATACCTCGTTTCTTAATTGAGAAAAAAAACATTCTTTTGTGATTTCGTTAATATGCTCAATAAAACAACTTTTTAACGCTTATTTTAAACAAATACATTGATTATCGTTATGGGAAAAGTGAATATTTAGTGTATGTACAACCTTGAGAATGAGTTTGCCCAAAAGACAACTGACTTTTTTTATAGAAATTAACACTCGTGTTTTTATCGCTAAACAAACCAGTTCAGAAAAAACCTTAGCAACTATGAAAAATTACTACTGCACATATGTGCCTGGTCTTACGTTGTAACTGACTGATGAAAAATCAGTGACTACTATAATTATTTTTGGGGCAAATAACAGTGAGAATTATGGATAGTTAATCCAGTGGTTTATGTAACTACTATTCGAGTCAACTCTTGTGACAATCGCAGAGGAATTAGTTGGACTAATATAGCTTCAATAATAATTCGACGCTTAACTAAAGCTCGTGAAGAACAGACTAGAGAAAATCAGGCTGGTTTCCGACCTGTACGTGGCTGTATAGACCAGATATTCACACTACGTCAGGTTCTAGATAACAGACACACATTCAAACACCCCACAATGTGAGTATTTCTCGACCTTAAGGCGGCATTCGACTCTGTTGATCGTAAGGTTCTATGGCAGTGTTTGTCACTGAAATGAGTACCAAAGAAGTACATTAACCTTATAAAGGCTCTCTACTCGAACACAACTGGTAGAGTGAGAGCTTATGGCGAACTGTCATCAGAATTGATTACCTCAAGTGGTGTTCGTCAGGGCTGTCCACTCTCTCCATTCTTGTTCAACTTTGTCGTCGACGTACTTTTAGAGATAACACTTTCCTCGTCTAGATTTCCAGGGGTTGAACTTCTACCAAGAGGTTCACTTGTTGGCTTAGAATATGCTGATGACATAGTTTTATTTGGTGAAGACGCTGACAAAATGCAGAGTCTTATGACCACTCTAAGCAACAATGCAAGCATGTTCGGGATGCGATTCTCCTCCTCGAAATGCAAAATTTTACTTCAGGATTGGGTTGCATCGACACCTGAACTAATGATAGGGAGTGAAGTAGTTGAGCGTGTCAACCTATCCACTTATCTTGGGAGTCTCATCAGCCCTTGTGGTTTGGTGTGTGACGAAATCTCAGCACGGATACAGAAGGCTCGAATAACCAAAGGACGGGTTTACTGTGCAGCAGTTCGTTCCGTCATACTTTATAGCAGTGAAACATGACCGGTAAGAGTAGAGGATTTTCGTAGGTTACTAGTATTCGACCATAGGTGTCTTCGAAACATTGCTCGTATATCATGTGACCACCGAGTAAGTAATACAGTTGTTAAAAAACGGGTACTAGATAAGGATGGCAAATCAATTGATGAAGTAGTGAAACTTAATCGGTTGAGATAGCTGGGACATGTGTTACGAATGCTCAACCACCAACTGCCTTGACGTGCGATGTTTTATGGTGTAGGAGTAGGTTCTACGTTGTTGATGAATGACAACTGTATTAAAGTATTCAAATATATTTTCCAAATTAACTATACCAGAAGGATATACGTGTTATTTTCTGTCTTTCAAAAATAAACATTGTGAAACTTTACAAGTAATATCGGCAAAACTATAACTTATGGACGAACCAATCATATTTAAGATAGCAGGTCTTGAATTTTGGTGTGAAATTTATTCACTAATATGTTTAAACATCATTTTAGTATTATAGCTGATGCCAATTCGTGAAGAAAACATCAAATCTAATTCCTAATCCTAATTCCTCACACTAATTCTATAACCCTCATTTAACCCTAGTAAGTAGGTGGACATTCCAAGGTCATCTTAACGATGCTCAAAGGTAGTTTATACATTATAGTCTCATCAGTAATATCATTAGATTTTTTTCCAACTCCGCTTGTAAGTATAAGTAACTTTCCAGGATAATCTGTAATAATGATTGCTATTCCTGCACATGTAACCTACAAGTACTTTCCAAACCTATTTTATTCATACGAAAGAATAATGTAATTATTTTTATTTTATATTGAATTTCGATCACAAGATGTCATTGTCACAAAATAAGGCTAAATAAATAAGCGAAATGTAAGGTCGACAGCGAAACCTCTTAGTTATCAAATTATTAACAATGATATTCAATGTATCTGTGAAAGACTACATTTCTCATTTAAGTACTTTAGTGCACAATTTCAAGAAAAACAGTTTGCTATTTACTACATGATTTCGATTACCTTTGACAAACTTTTATTCACTGGATGTTTGCTTGGACTGGAAGAAAAATGTTCAGGGCGATTAAAACTCACAACTTCTCGGTGGATAGTAGGTTGATAAACCTGAGACGCAAACTGGCCTGATGGGCGAGGTAAACCAACAGCTGATGCACGACGAGACCCAAACTGACTGAGGTCCATTTCAGACAGTGGTTTAATCACAGTTCCTTTCCATTTCATTTTAGCCAAGTGAAGTAAAACATGATTTGGTAATAGAGTGTTATCTTCACGACTGAGGCGGCTACAATGCATAGCAGCAGCTTTGTAGCGTTCCGGTACTTTAGCATGCACACCCAGTATGTGCTTTCGAATGTCACCCATTCCATGTGGTGAAGATGAGGAACAACCAGAGCAGCAGAAATATCTCCTACCTCGCCGTCTGGTAATGTACACTTTTAGTGAACTGTAGACACCCATTTTAGCCTGTAAAATAATCAACGTTTCATTTATCTATGATCAATAATGTAAATACTATAAAAAAGATAACAGAAAACGTGAAAAATGCAAACATTTTCACTTTTGGAATAATAGTTATCAATAATTATTCTACTTTACATAAATATGGCACAGCAGCTGTGCAGGGATTTATATAATAATCTGCTCGTCAAAGTTTTATTCTCGATGATAAAAGACACTTTGATCGATCAAAATTGATGCTTATGTGAGTGGTTTGAGTAATAAAACACCCTGTAACTATAGGAATAAGATACAGCGTGATTAAAATATTGTTATCAAACAAGTTTAACTGTTGGATTGACTTGGATGAAAAGGATGGTACTACGTAAAACAATGAAAATACAGATTTTTCTTCGATTCAAGATTATTTGGATGCTTAAGTACCAACACTGTTAAAAGGCTTAATTTACGCAAATACTATGATTAAAGCAAACAGCAAGTTATACAAACCTCAAGAACCGGAAAATAGTTGGGTGGACAGTAGCCTTGTACTAAAGTTTTTAAAGCTTCGGATGAATATGGAAGATCAATAACACGTTCCACTTCCTCTGCACCAGAAGCCTGGACAGCATTTAAATGTGCAAGTGGATCTTCCACTTCTTTCTGCATCTTTTTAGGATCAATATCTGAAACTTCTTTATCATCATTTTCATTACTGTCATATTTAGTGAGTGAATCATCATGACAAATTGAACCACTTGCTGCACCGGTATCAGTCCCTTCACTTACTGAGTCTGTTTCAGTAACATCTGTGATTTGTGTTCGAGGCGAAGATGAAACAGAGTGAGTATTCATCGACTGCTGAAGTGCTGTTGTAGGCACAGAAGGATAAGGAGCCAATTCTTTCAAAGGTTTTGCGAAGCTAGATGGTGCTGAACGACCATTCATACTGGTAGTGGTTACGTCAGGAGGACCAACATTAGGAAGATTATTAAGTTTAATGGGTCTGTCCATAGCTAGTCGAAGAAGCATATCATCAGGATAGATTTGAAAATCATATTCCCTAGTAATACGAGAAGCCTGGCAACAAATGGTGATAAATACATTTGGAATACGAGCATGAACACCCATCACATGACGCCTACTATCAGCCAATGTTGCGGCGCGAATTTTACTGTCAGGTTGTCGAGTAGTGATAAAAAGACGCCCACATGGACAGCGGAAAGCTATAGTGCGATCATTACGACATATTCGGCTCATTTTATAAGTTGAATATACGCGCATTTTCGATACTATGTCTTCTATATGGTGTTCAGGAGCACCAGAGGATTCCAACAAATGACGAAGAACTGGTTCAGAAAATGGCAAGGCAAGATCAACAACCTTATCAGCGCCTTCTATTCCTGGTATAGATGGGAGTGAAGCTAAATCCACACTTGAGTTAGATGTTGTCGACTGTTCTATATTAGATGTAACAGGGGAACCATTGATGTGATCATCAGTTGATTGGATAGGACTCGTAGAATTAGGAGGATGAAAATCTGGAGGCACCATGGGTCGAATTCTTACAGTAACTTTGGTTTTGGAACCCGGAACAACGGCAGTAAAATTAGAACCATACGAGTCTTGTGTACAAGACAAACTATTCAACGCTGTAGCCAAAGTCGTAGAAGGGCTCTCAGAAGAACTAGGATGATTCTCATCTACTGGATTTGGTGAAGCGTTTGGGCTGGTTGGATTATTTGAAACCAGACGTCTATGTAAAAAATCTCTGGCGAGACGAGCTAACTTTTCATCAGAGAACAAAGTAAATTCAACAGGATCCAGGCGGGATGCTTGGAGACAGTGGCGAAAATGTTTAGTCGATATGCCACAATGAGACCCCAATATATGCTTCCTCACATCAGCCAGGGCATGTGGTGATGAGTAAGAACAATGGTTGCATTTGTACCGCCGAAACCCTCCGCGTGTATCGACTATAACCGACAGGCGACAGTACAACTGCATCTTTTGCTCCAGGAATTCTCGCGTGGCGATGGGAAGATGGGCAGTCAGTCTTCGTAAAACGCGTATTGAGTATGGTAAAGGAATACGACGGCGCCCAATCTCGAGGACACGAGGCTTCATCTGACGCATAGCGAGCTGCTCTTGAACTTCCTGAAACCTCTCCTCACTTTTGGGCAGATAAGTAAAACGCAAACAATCTTTCAAATGTTCTCTGGGGACTTCCAGATGCACTGTAAGTAAATGTCGTTTAAAATCACCAAGACCGTATGGAAACACTTTATCACATTCTGGACAAACCGGGATACGACGATGATTTTCCTTCCCTAAAATCCGGACAAAGTAAGAGGAGAATTGCTTCATTTTTAAAACTAATGTATCTATTACATGAGGTTGCAATTGTACACGTAGTTCACTGCGGAATTTACATTCATCGAATGGAAAAGAAACTAAACCTTCGCATCCACGAATAATTTCATCCGACGACAGGTTATCATCAGCAAATTTGTCTAGTGAGTCTAAGGAGTCGCTGGACTGAGAACCCAATACATCATTATTGTTGACTTCTTTACTATCTTGAATTGGATCTAGTGATTCCGTAGACAGAATGCTGGGTTTAGGCTGAATTGGTATTGGAGATGAAATATCACGAGCTAAAGATTTTGAAAATGTACTGACTGAATTCGGAACAGCATTATTTATGTTGAAGTTTGTCAAACCTGAAAGAGCTGCTGCAGCCATAGCAGCAACAGCTGAGGCTGCATCACATGCACTTAAGTTTCCAGAAGCGTTATTTATTATATTCATTGGTGAACTTGCTGGAATACTGGTCAAACTGTTACTAACTATCATACCGTTATTATTAGATGAAGACTGATCAATAGAGACTGTATGAACATTGCTTGGTGGCGTTTGTTGAACTCGGTTAGTTAAACTCATTAACGTTGGTGCATTAGGTCGGGCCAAAGCTGCAAGATTCATAGGTGATTCAGTTTCCTTTGCATCATCATCAGGAACTGAGGAAAAAGAAGGAAAATAATCAAGAGCATATGCAGAGGATCCCGACTTCTGTTCAGTATTGAGAGATAAATCAGTTGTAACCGGTTCAGAGTCATTATCCAGTAAAGAAACGCGTAGGTGTTCCCGATAGACTGATGCTTCCTTTAAACAAAAAGGTAAATAAAACTAGAGGATGTATAACAAGCTTATTGTATAAAAAACAAATTAAATTAATTAAACTTACTAACTGTCAAGAATTACACTGGATAAGGCTGAATGATAAATACTGATATTATTCGTCTCCATTATCAAAAATAGACTAATTAACTCAAAACCGAAAGTCAGCGGTATGCAGTTTACTGTTTAGAGGTAGTGTCTATCTCTAATATAGTCTAACGAGAACCACTGAAGGAAGACAGTATGTAATGTATGTACTATAGAGCAGATGAGACTAAAAACCTTTGCTATAACTGTAACTGATTTTTTTATAGATGAAGCAACATAAATAACATCCTTTAATCCTTGGTCTATAACCACTAACAATATTTCACTAAAAAAGCCAAATATGTTGGAAGTTTTATTCATTTTATACCGAAGCCATTGTCTAGTTTCAGTTCTGAAGATATGAATAAATAAGGCACGTTTAGAGAATGGATCAATATAAAAGGTTATGAAGGAAATTATTAATTACCCCTTGTTGACCAATCCGTAAGAGAATAAAAGATCTTTTTACATGCTAGCATTTAGTCGACGAAATGCGATTTCCTTTGGAATTTGTCTAGAAAACTGACATTATTTCCAATCTCAACAGAGATTAAGGTGATTTAAAGGATTATCATATATGACGAGAATAATTAGATATAAAAAACCTGTAATCTAAGACACAGTTGATGCACTGTAACGAACGATACAACACAATGTCCATTTGCTCTTATCAAAGACTCCCCTGTATCACAGTATTGATGTTCATACTGCAACTCGAACGCAGTACTTTTAGCTTCAAACGGCGACGGGTTATCTACAGAGTTACTTACTTACTTACGCCTGTTACTCCTAATGGAGCATAGGCCGCCGACCAGCATTCTCCAACCCATTCTGTCCTCCGCCTTCTTTTCTAGTTCCATCCAATTCTTGTTCATTTTTCTCATGCCTATTTCCATTTCCCGGCGTAATGTGTTCTTTGGTCTTCCTCTTTTCTTTTGGCTTTGGGGATTCTATGTGAGGGTTTGCAATGTGACACAGTTGGGTGCTTTCCTCAATGTGTGTCCTATCCACTTCCAGCACTTCTTCCTCCGCTGGGATCTGGTTTGTTCTCTCCCACAGTACGTTGTTGCTAATAGTGTCCGGCCAACAGATCCGAAGTATTTTGTGTAGACAACTGTTAATAAACATCTGTATTTCCTGGATGATGGCTTTCGTAGTTCTCCAGGTTTCTGCCCCATACAGTAGAACTGTCTTGACATTTGTATTGAAAATCCTGACCTTGGTGTTGGTTGACAGTTGCTTTGAGTTCCAGATGTTCCTCAGTTGCAAATATGCTGCTCTTGCTTTACCGATCCGCGCCTTCACATCTGCATCAGATCCACCCTGTTCATCAATGATGCTGCCCAAATATGTAAAGGATTTTACATCTTCCAAATCGTCTCCGTCAATTTTGATTGGATTGGTGCATGCTGTGTTGTATCGGAGAACCTTGCTTTTCCATTTGTGTATATTGAGATCTACTGCTGCTGAGGCTGCTGCTACACTGGTCGTTTTCTCCTGCATTTGTTGTTGCGTTTGGGATAGAAGGGCCAGATCATCTGCGAAGTCTAGATCGTCTAACTGCATCCTATTTGTCCACTGTATCCCGTGCTTTCCTTCAGATGTTGATGTCTTTATGATCCAGTCGATCGTCAAGAGAAAGAGAAAGGGTGAGAGTAAGCAACCTTGCCTGACACCGGTCTTTACTTCGAACGAATCTACAGAGTTACTGAGTCCAAATAACCAATAACTTGCTTAGTGAGCGCGAGGATTACCTTATTATTAGTAATGGATTGAATTGTTCCGTCTTTAACATTGAAGTCTGAATTTCGGTCAGTTTTGCTGGCATGTGTACATCTCATGTGGGTTGCTTCGATATGGCTGACGAGTCCCAAATATGATTGAACATGTGTTTTGGATTCCACTAATACAAACAATCCATTTATTCTAAAAATTGTGTGACAAAATGGACATATCGATGCAATCACCATGAGATGTACATATGCCGATGGAGACTGATCAATATTCAGTCTTGAATATCAACTTGACAATTTAAACATCCACTAATGTTTCATTTAAAAGCTATTATAAACAAGGACGAAACTAGGTCTAAACTTGATGCGGATTATGAAAGTTGGAGATCTAGGAAAATATTGAAACTATATAAATGAGTTTGTACAATCAAATTACTAGTCCGTAGAAAGAAATTCGGTCCTATATCTAAACAGTCTATCGTGTTTACTCAACAAGTGATAATTTACCAGCAGTTACACTTTAACTTCTAACAGTTTCAATAAGCAAGTATAAAAATGGGTATATATATGAAATTTCTATAAACACGGATGTATGACATGAACATCAGTTAGCAGTCAAACGGCATGATATCTCTTCACTTATATCAATACACGTGGACAACTGCGGACACTCATTCGATTGGAAAAATGTGGAAATCTTAGACAGAGGAAACTCCAAAAACACCAGAGAATTTTTAGAAGCCTGGCACTCAGGTCAATTAGCAATCAACAAGCATATTGAAATCAATCCAATTTATCAACCAATCAGAAAAATCATGCACAAACATAAGAACAAAAATCAAAACAATGGGAGACACAACCAAAACAAAGAAGTAAACAACGACAAATTTAAGGTCAATAAGAACCAATCAACGTCGAGGTGCACAGAACAAGCTTTGAGACACATATGGAGAAATTCAAACACTTCACTTCTATCTGAAGTTTGTGCTGATGATGTCGTTCAGAAGAACGATGAAAGCTCCACGACCAAACCATCCAGCTCAGAGAACAAAACTCCACCAAAATCATCCACCTGAGCTACAAATCTTCTCCACCATCTCAATGACATTATTTACCGACTGGAAAGGGAAACTTTCCTACCAGCCATTATTATTATTATTATTTCAACACATAAATATTGGTAGACGAGCGCACCAAATATATATGCGCCACACCATATTTGTGTGTGTGTGGGCTATGATACTGCCCGGGTGCCCAGACCGAAGCATATGGTTTTCTGAGAGGGCCACACCCCGAGCCTTTGACCTAAAGATCTGATCCGCAAGGCAGTGGAGCGTCGTGAGGAGATGCAGTCCCAGAGTAGCCGGTGACCAACAATTGGTTCATACGCCATTTGTTCCCGCAGGATACTGGGACCCATGTGCACCACTGGTTTGGAATCCGGTTAAAGCGCCGGACATCCGCTTTTTGTCCTCTCATTTTTGTAAACAACACCCCCGCCACGAGAAGGCAATGAGTAGGACTTCCCTGGCAGAGGCTGTATACGCGTGGCCGTGTGAGAGCATTTCGAGAGGAAGGGAGGGCGGGCCCACCCCACTCTCGGCCATACCAGGGCATCTGAGGGCTTCCTACCAGCTAATCATTTAGCATACAATAATACTTGAAATGGAGTTTGAGTCCTCATGTGTATTTACGAGCTCATGTTAGGAACAGATAATTAAAAGGCATGAGAGTTATTAAAACAGCGATGTCTTAGAAGTAGTCTCTTTTTCCAATATATTTAGTTGTAGCTACAGTTATCGGGTCAATAAAGGCAATAAACCTTTATCGCTAGCAGGATTGATTTTTAAGGAATCATATACATGACATCAGAAAGTACCCCTTGTTATAAGGGAATTAAACGAGGAAGTTATTAAAGAATAGATGCAGCTACCATCAAATTTAATGATTCTGAAGTGAGAAAAATTGATTTTTATCAAAAAAGGGTTTTTGTGGAAATTGTAGTAATTTAATAGTTGGGTACATGAGTCAATCAAAGCTAGACCACCATGGAAAACCTGGAAGCACCGGATGTCCATCTCGTCCTAGTATAGGACTTCAGCAATGCACATCCACGATCCCGCTCGCGAGATTCGGACCCAGGACATTCGGTCATGGGGACGGACGGAACAGCCGTCCAGTGCATTAAGGTTTTTCATGGTGGTTTAGCCTTAATTGACTTATGAACTCAACTAGAAAATTGATTTATCAAAATTCTTAAAAACTATATTAAACTGTTTGAACATGAAGGTGAGTTATCTACTTGAATGATTTGAGAATTTGAACAATGTAATGTAATGGAACTGATCAGGGACAGTATTTATGCTGTATACCATCGTTTAGTGCACCAATACACCTTATAAAATAAAACCTAAAAATTAAACAGATTTTATTCAGCACCTAAGAATAAATAGTTTGATAAGTCACAGTTCCGGAGTAAAGTGTATACATAAGAATAGGAAGCTCCTGTTACGATCCTGGTAATCCAAATTTATCTTCTCTGACTGGATTCGAAAACGATTTGTTCATAATCCGAAAACCATATAAATTACGCGTCAAATGATTCATTGACCTCTGATAGGAATAAAAACCAATTGAAAGTATCCTGACGCTGTACACGTAAAGGTTCTGTAACTGTGAAGTGATTGACTGATTGCATGTGTATCTAATAACAGTTAATATGAATGAAGAAAATTGTTGTTCTTAAAGCAACATATCGGTAAGTATATGGTAACAGACAAAGCAAAATAACCTACCTTGGGATTATGAGAATAAGTAACATGCTCCGCAATTAACTTCTGCTCTGTAGATACCACCTGACATTTTGAACACCAGTAAATATGGCAGCGATAAACTAGAGGCAGTACTTTCTCAGATTCTTGGCGGCGATTACGGAAATATGCCCTTATACCTGTACAGGAAGCAGGATGCATCAGAAAATAAATCCACCGAATAGTTGTAAGATCACAATAAGGACAACGAAGTAGAAAGACGAACGGAGAGGACATATCTGAAAATATCTTGTTAACAATAGAGGCCTGATCAACTACAGTCAATGAGGAAGTGCAATCATATTGTGATGCATTATCTAACTTAGCGACAGTTGTAACAAGATGGTTACAAATTAACTGAAATATAAATAAAAGCAGAACAAGTCCGAGAACAAATATCAGAAATCAGTTTACAGAAAAAAACTAAACAGTAAGAACAAAATAAAGCTTTAAAAAATGGCTATATATATAAGCTGTGATAGTACAAAGTTTGAGCACTTATTTTAATATATTTGGATGGAAGCTACGTGGTTAAAACATTGAACTATCGATCTCTAGATTGCAATTACTTTAAATAACGCTCTATCGAACTTCAGTTTTGGGAGCCAGAAATTCACAAACCCTTACATAAAAAGTGTGACTTATAACGGAGTACATAAGTCTGTACATGGTGAATAAGTTGGTACATATTTGTAAACCGAAAAGCTAAAGTGTTCCAAAATTTACAAATATATGTCCATTTAAGTGTGTAGAAAGCTGCTGCCTAATTTACGAAACTATAACAAATACCAATAATCAGTAATCATATGCTTAACAGGGTCGCTCATAAACTTACATCATTGTTGAAAAACAAAGATGAAACCACAAACAAACGTACAATAATCACATCAAATCATTCACAGATTATTTAAGATATCAGTGATAAGTAGTACATAGCTAAAACTTTACAGCACTATAGGGAAATATTTCTGTATAAGTGGAGAGCAACAAGTTGGAACTAGCAATCTACAAATACATAATTCAAAGAACTAAACTAGTCCTTAAAAATTTTCCTGATCCCAAACCAAAACATGACATCAGTTCATGAAGTCACTGACAACTGAACTGAGCCATGTCAATAGGTGTAGACTATCTGGTTAGAGTCCGCGTGATTATCGTAGCCAGTGGTTAGACTTTGAATGACAATTCAAAATCGTTTGCAGTGGCGAAGGTGCACCCATTCTTTGTCTTCCCTTAAATACTGAGATCCTGGATTCACCAAAAATTATGTTTTTACTTCACCAATTCATACTCTATTACTTAAAATCCCCACTCATTCTGTTACTGTCTCTACTATTTTGGAATTCGACCTGGCAATTTTATCTCTGTGTTAATAGTAGTATAGCAACTTGAACCGATTTACATACGTACGAGCTTCTACGTAGCGACTGACTGACCTTTTCCAGATAGCAAAACCAACGAACATAAATATTGTATGACTACGACACACATTCAAAACGTTGTGAAGTATATATTCCATAGAAATTGAAAAAAAGCCTACCTCCGAAGTTTCGCGAAATAATTGGAACGAAGTTTCTTCTTTGAGATCAAGGAAATCAGTATGCTTTCGTCGAAAGTGATCCAAGATAAGTGTTCTAGATGGCGATTTCACAAAGCAACCAGGGAAAGTGCAGTGTACAAGTGAGCATAGATTTAATTTAATATGTTCTCCCCATTCCAACAATGTAGAAAATGTATTCATGCATTGACTGCATTGCAATTTGGGGGTCTCAGATGAACTATTATGTTGAGTGTCCCAGTGAATCTGCATATGTTGAAAACGATCAGTACTAAATTCATGAGAACACTGAGGTTTAGATGGACAAGAAAAGATTCTCGGAGATTTTGAAGAGGAAGGAGTTAGTAAGTGCTGGGAAATGTGAATCATCAAATAATTTCGATGAACAATGGAGTCACAGTAAAGGCATAAATGGTTTTCAGTATTTGAATGATACTTCGTTAAATGTGAAACAAAAACTTCGGGATCAGAAGTACTTGAGTCAGGTTTATGAGATACATTTGATAGATAATTTAAATGGCCATCATTCAGTCCCTTGTTTTGTGAGCACATAGAACATGTAAAGCACCCTGAAGCCCTTTCCAACAATTGAATATTTCGCTTTAAAGAAGAACATGTAAGTTTTCTGTCATAACTTTGGACACTCATTGTCAGTATGTTCTAAACAGACCCTGTCATTTAATACAAAGAAAACGAAGTCATAATTACAGTAGAACTAAACAAATGTTAATTACTATAGGTTAATAAAACAAATACAAGATTACGTTTCAGATTTCATAAGAATTCACTTAAAAAGTAAAACATAATAATTGACTACGTACAGTTGTATTGATTTCATTGTGTAAGACTAAGTGATAACATATAACATAAGCAGAGTTGGAAAATGGAATTGGGACAGTTTCGAATCGTTGATGAGAGTATCAACCCTGGTGACTTATAGAGAAGCAAACAACGTGAAATCTCATCAGTTGCACCTGTACGAGCTATCAATTACAAATGTACGAAGTAATGAGTACACGTCCATAACTAAATAAAATACTTTGATGCGTAAGGAAAGGTAGCGAATATGTATAGTCTATTTTAGAAAATTAATTCTAAACCAATAATGGACATGGGATCTTGAGAAAAGAACGACATCTAAACCTGATTCGGTTAAAGACACCATATGACTATATTTCGTTCACCTACTTGGGGACCAAACATTTTAATGATTACCAAAGACGTCTAAAAGGTTTATTTTCGGTGCTTGAACAGTGATGAGCGTTTCGTGTTACAAGTGCCAGTAACTCCCAACCGTTAAGTTATGTTAAAAGACGTATCGATCTCATCTTGGTTTGTACATATGCAGTGAACTGACTGAAGATAGTAAAGCTTTTACATCATCTTAATTTTCAGGTTATGTGACTAATCGCAAGAGAGTACGCATAGCGCTCATTGTAAAGCTGTCAATTATGCATGGGATACTGCATTGTTAAGATAGACTTACATGGATGTAAAATGTTAAAATAGGTGATAATTAATACGCATCTGAAGACAATAAAAAGGAACAGGGATATGGTATAAAAGTGTGTCGGTTGGCTAGCATACTTTGTATTACTAACAGAAAGAAATCATCCAAAAACACAAAAAAATAGAGACGAGATAAATGTAGTGGTAAGCTGAAGGAAGTAAAGATTAAAAATATTTGCATGAATATCCCTCAAAATCTTTAACTACTAAATCTTGTCATCTTAAATAACCATATATACATATGTCACAAGTAGAGGCTATTCATAGTGGTCTAGCTTTAACTGACTCATGATTTCAATCTGTGAAATTTCTAAAATCTCCACAAACCCCTTCTGTTAATAATCATCTACTCATTTGTGATTGACCTCAAGAGATACTCCTGGAGTTCTAGTGGGAAGTCGTTACCAGTGGAGTTCAACCAGGTCTGTTGTGAGATATCAACTCACTGAGGACAATAGTATACGGTGGCGCAACTTCGTGGATTGGTTGAAGTTAGACATTATCACCATTGGATGCTGGCTCAGTGGTCTAGTTGGTTAAGCGCCTGGCGCGAGACTGATAGGTCCTGGGTTCGAATCTTGCAAGGTGCGGGGTCGTGGATGCGCACTGCTGAGGAGTCCCATACTAGGACGAAACTGCCGTCCAGTGCTTCCAGGTTTTCCATGGTGGTCTAGCTTTAACTGACTTATGATTTCAACCTTTGAAATTTCTAAAAGCTTTGTTAGGATTCAAAGCCGTAAGTAGACTTGTAACATAATTGAAATCCTCTTAAACTGATAGAAACAAGATTTATGATAGAGAAATGTAAACATTTTGTCAACTGCCACCGAATGAAGTGCTAACTAACCTTGATTTGTAAAATAATCCTGATTTATAAAAAAAACGGTAGTCTCAACGGAGATTATTTTTGCCGCACACACATTACAGATGCTTGCAGCTCAAAATAACGATCTGTCTGAGAATGCATAACTCACTTAAGCAAGTCATGAAGTTTTTTCACCATGTATTCATTTTCAAGCACCCAGGTTTATAAGCTAAAGACCTATATATAGGGGTTAGAGAGATGACTATCTGTGGTTACAACCAAAAATTATGAGGCAGTTAGAATGGACAACGTAAGATGCAGACCTATGTACAGAATTCTACCTTCTTTGCTTTCATAGCGAAATGATATTCACCGCTTAGAACACTAACCGACAACAAATCGACAAATTCTTTTTAAAGTACCAGAATTCACTTACAAACTAGTATGGCGAGACTCTAATTTAAGGACGACTTTTGAACGAATCTTAAATGACCTTGACAATTATTAGCTAATCAGAAGAAAGTGAAAATACATTATACGAAAGTAATGAATTACAGTGGATATTCTCCTTTTACATGATTTAAAAACTTGTTAGGGTTTAATTAAGGTTCAGAGGTTCTGAATTCATAATGCATATGGAATAGAAACTCGTCCATTGGGTTAGGATTAGGGTGCTAACATACGGTTAAAGTTAGGATGCTAACATACGAGTTTTTAAATCATGTAAAAGAAGAATATCCACTGTAAATTATTACTTTCTTTTAATAGATTTTTACTTTATGCTGTCTTCTGATTGCCTAATAATTGAAATTGCTCAAACGCTTGATTGGCTCGTCCCTAAATAAGAGTCTCGCCACTAGTATGTATGATGATTATAGGGGTCAACGTAATATCCGAACAATAACACCATACGTGAATACTTGCTTGATCCGACAAAGGAACGACACCTCGAATTCCTAATAAGACGATATCAGTATCAACAAACTTTTAACCAAAAGGGACGAGTGGGTCAACTTATTCAACTGAACGCATTAAAAGCTAACATATTCTGAAGGAATAGATCGCTTAAAAAACAGTAAGACAGCAAACAAACTGCATGTCCATAAAGGCTGAAGCACACGAAAAGCGTTAACAGGAATAAAAAACTATACCTTTCAGTGAACCGATACGGACATTAGGACCTGAAAATGTAAATTATTAGGTTGATGTAAAAAGGCTGAGAATAATACTTTAAAGAGAACTAAGCGCGCTTTTAGAGTCACGTGAAAAACGGTGATTTGATTTTTGAAATGTTTTGTACAATTATAGTCCCCCGAAAAACCATTTGATAAATCCCGCTTTTGCAATCTTAACAGTAGGGTCATAAAGCGCGCTTTTTTGACTCAAACAAACAAAAATGAGACAATTCGACACAGTATAAACGAATTCATATTTCAATGAGCAAAATAAATTTATATTGCTGCTGCCTATCACTTCTTATTTAAACCTATATTTTGATCGTTTGTTTTGGTTTATGCGTTACTTCAAAGTTTGTTGTTCCCTATTATCGCTGTCCATGTCTACTGCATCGAAGAGTTCAAATCAGGATTATTGTTAGTCCCAGCCCTTTTCATGTGTAATATTTTGATACTTTGATTTGTCGGCCTATGATTTATTTATGTTTACACTTGTAAGTTTTTAAAATAATGACATATATATTGCACTTACTCACAGATTGCAACATGCAAAATAAGAAAACCTTTCAGTATCTAAATCAAATATCGCCTTGTGTTCTACTAGTATAATATATAAAAATGTTCACCATTATTGTCCTACATTTACTGCGGGTTGTATAAAACGTTAGCTTCTGATAAGTATCAACAGACACTCACATATTTCAGTTTATGTAGAAGTATCCCGTCCGAAGATAGCTTTCGATTCTTTCCGTCATTTCAGCTTTTGCGTCATCTCTGGTTGGTCGAGTTAGATTTCGACTTAGTTTTCTTCCGATCTATTGCATCATCATTATCTTTCAGTTAGAAAAGTGCAGATGTTCTTGTATCTCTTTCTCATTCTGATTTTCTACAGGCTTAAAGTCTGATTATAGCCAATTTCTCACCTGAGTATCCCTGTCAGTTTGGCTTTGACAACACAATATTTGAATCGTCATCTATTAGTCTCAAAACGTTTGGATCCAGGATAAAATGTGGTTTCCTTAGACCTCTATTTTTTAACGCAACTCTTTATTTCGCGAATTTTTGTTGGGAGGCTCGGTTTGGATTTACCTTCAGGGATAAAACTTTCTTATACATGTAGATTGTTTATACAAGCAGATTGCCTGTTGAACTTTATACTCCCTCACAATCCGCTTCATTTACTTCTTTACGAAATGCATTTTTGCCTCTTTTTAGCCAATAATAATTGGGGCATAATCTCTTACTTTATTGTATAGTATTGTTGGTGTATTCAAACGTCAGTAAGTATGGGTTAACCAAAAACAGTAATTTTGATCTGTTCCTTTCCAGATTCTTACTAAGTTTTGGGATATCCTCCCGTCAAAAACTTTACTGTTTGGTTGCTTTATCGGTATTTGCTCCCCTAAAGTAGACCAAAAAGCCCCATGGCGCTCATCGATAAAGTAAGTATTTTGATTGCTTATATGTTCTTATGATTAGATTCAACCGAGTCATGCTGTTCCACCTACTAGACGCTCAGAAAAGCTAAAAAGAGTTGGGTCTCTTGTGGAATTATTTGATTTCTTCGTGCTGAATGAAGGGACGGTTATTGATACTGTATCCGTTAACACCTTCTTATATACCTATCGCATATTTGCTGATATGGAGTTGGTCTTGGAAGTTGTAAATAAAAAGCAAGTATGACTTTGTATAAACTGTATAATAATCCGTACAGATTTTGGGATACATGCCATTCAAGCCTAATACCTACCTCTTGGAAAGTTGGGATTATTTCGTAAGTCTCTTTTGTGAATGGTCTGCCTCTTTTTGTTGTACATCCCCTTCGTAGTGACTCAATAAATGTGAATCCTCTGACTTAACTGATAAGGGACCAACTACCCACACGAAATTTACCATACGTTCTCAGCCTGCTAATCAGAACGCCTGAAGGACTACACAAGCAGCTCACATTACTGTGTACTGTTCAGACTCTAAAGCTCACGTTATTACACACTTAAAATACAATACTATGATGTACCATAATACATGCAAATCCGGGATGTTTGCGATATAAATCTCGATAACGGGCGTATAACTGTTTGGAAGTAGTTTGAGAATGAAGAAAAATATAAAATAGATAATAAGTTTAAAAATGCAATTGAGATGACACTGAAACACAACAAAAAATTATTTACGAAATATGTATCCTCTGAGTCGCTAGGGAACATCGTCCAAACTTCCCCATTCCTACTTATTCACCTATTAATAGCAAAATCTCTGATAGGTAATATTTTTACCTTCGCAGTAAATGTTTAATTTTTATAGCATTAGTCTACTTACCCGATATTGTAAAGAATTAGTGAATTACTAACATTATCGAAAAATATGTTACCTGTTGTTTTGATTAAGTGTCCTCATGTGTTAAAACGGAATTTTGTACTTTGGATTTATGGATTCGTCAGATATTCGGGACATATTTAACATCATCACTATCCTATATCTTGCTGTTAATTCTACAAGGTTTCTTTAAGATGTAGTAAAGTAAAGGACAACTCGTGTTTTACGTACTGAGGTGCGGGATTAAGCTCTGTGTTGAGAAGTTTTTCTTCTTTGTTAAGCCTTTGTTTTATTCTTTAACATAAACATTTTTTTACTATTTTATGTATATTTTTCAAAGACCATGGGAAAACCCGCTATTACATCCATATTTGAAAATATTATTTGATGTACTGATAGAATTGAACTGGGTGCATGACAAAACAAGTGCTTACTTACTACTTGCATACCAGCTTTCTGGTGTCTTTAACTAAATGTTCGCTGATACAAACCCCACTATAAGCCCAGGTTTCGGTACAGATTTATGTAATTCATCCTATACTAGCTCACCTGTAACTTGCGTTTTTTTTGTGATCAGTTATTTTCCAGTGATTTTAGATCGCTATCACTTTATAAGAGTATTTTATTTGACTGAATTTTCATATTTAAATTACATGGATCATCTCGAAGTTGTTTGTATTCCTCATCAGAATGTTAGCAATTTATCACCCATTGTTTTCAAAAATTGTTTTCTGTGTATAGGTCTTTTCAGTATTTTCTTGGTGCATGGTTGCAGCAGCCTCATGTAAAAGATTTTGATTCCCCACAGAAAATTATCCATCTTAAATGGCTAATACGGATTCTTGCCGGTTGGTTTGATGTTTTTCAACCCTCTTATAATCACGACAGTCACAATTATGTTCTTAAAGAGTTGATGAGGTGCTGTGGAAATAACGTGTCTTCTAAAAATCAAGATACGACGCGAAGCATTTTGTGCAACATTGATTCAGAAGTTTGGGATCGAATTACTGCAGATATGGAGTATTTATGCCGACAAGCTGTAAATTGTCTCAAAATCATAGCCTGTAAATATCAAATAGACTTAACTCGGGAAAAACAATTACCGTCAGTGCGTATAATCACCATAAATCGAGGTAAATGTTAATTCTGTTTAACGTTTACTAATGTATATGTATATACAACTTGATAACATGTGTAGATGTTTCATCTAATTACCGCTGCAAGATAGTTTAAATTTATATTGGTAACACAGCAATTAAAATTGCATAACTGAATTATATACATATATATAATTTTCTACTATTACTATCTATTTCGAAAAGTTACGTTACCAAGAGTTTTTAACTTTTCCCTTTTTCTTAGTCAATTGTCATCATTCACTACACAACTCTGCAATGCATAAATCAGAAAAGCATTTAAAAGAAATAATTACCATTACACCTTCTATTAACCCCTTAATTAATCTATGGAATTTGAATTTAGACACAGTTGCTGAACAACTGACTGTTGCTGATCAGGTAGGAAATTTTATTGAATAACCTGGTTATTTTCATATGAGATTTTGATTAGAAATACATTTTATATAGACATTTTTTACGATTTGTTTGCAAAATCTCACCCTATAGTAACACTACCTGGACAATTTTGATGATAAATTTTGTCCATGTGGCCCACATGGGACAATGTTTTTAATCTAAGTGTATTTCGGTCATCACGAAGTATTGGGGTCTACGACGTATAATTCTTTCCATTTAAGCCTGGTTAGTTGGATATGTCGGATTCCGATTTCTGTTTTCTTCCTTTGAACTCGAGACACTTATCCATGTAAATAGACACTGAAGTGTTACGCACTAAGCTTGTGAGTTACGACAGCCACTAATGGCCAAGGATCTATATATTTTCCGGTTTTCAAATGTCAGGATATAATTTTTATGTTTATGTCGGCTAATCAGTTCAGTCTTAAGTCTTGTAAACATGGATACAAAGAGCATTTAGCTTTCACTTAATTTTTTATTAGAATCTGCGTTTAATCCTGTTTTTAAACTACCTATTGGCTTTAATATGTTTTTCTGTCTTAGAGATTATTTCTCGACATGGAGTTAAATGATTGCCTGATATATGCTAGAGGCAAACCTGCTCCATCCGTGCAAGCTACAATCGACCAATATAATAAATTATATCATCTTGTCCAAAGTTCAGTGTTTAACTCAGATCAGGATTTTCCAATACTAGTAGAACCTACACCGATCTATTCAAGACGTTTTAATAAACGGGGTAATTATAATAGTCCAACGACAAGAGTTAGTCCACAGATAATAACGATATGGTCTAAAAATTCACCTAATCATAATTCTTTGGCATCGGATGTGGGAAAATTAAAAACTGGATGCATAATTACATGGATTGATATTGCTTATGTAAGTTCGCTGTGCGGTGAGTTATAGATACATTTTTTCTCAACGTAATTGTGTATTTACTTTAAACTTTCTTTTCGGGCAATATTAGGTTAGTGGGTTTGTTGTTATTCTTTTATTTGATATTTAACAAGAATATAATGACTGACCAATTTGCACGTTGTAGAGCTATTTTGTGCTTGTTTAGATATTGTATTTTAGGTTACAAGTTTAATTCTATATTCAACTATATTGGTTGCAACGTAAATCTATCTTATTTATCACTACTTGACATTAATGGAGTTCTTGAGGTGATTGTACCTTTATTACGTTGAAGTTTGTAAGCCTGATTCATTTTAACTTCTTAGAGTTCTACAAATTAAAATTTAGTATGAGAGCTCTTGGAAAGTATAGTTTGACCAGTGTAATTGTTAGTCAGCGCACTAGGCGGTGATTATTTGATGATTTCTAACAGCATTATTATTTGATACCCTATTTTTTTCTCTAACTTCAGATCATGTTGGTCATGTTTCTAACTTTAAGTAGTATAGTTTAGTTTTCTTATAAGTATTATTAGACGCATGTTTTACATGTACTTGAATTCCTGGTAATAGCTCGGGAATTCAACAACTCATCTAACAGTTCTCATAAACAAAATGTTTTTTTTCACTTAACTCTTGCTTATAACAAAAATATGATGTTTTGTGATTTCCTCAATAAAAGTGACTCAAGTTATTTCCGAGATAAATCACCATTTTAGCTTATGTGAAAATCATTTATCTCCGGTATGCTTTATTCACTTGTTGTTACTTTAACATACATTGTTCAATATATTATCGGTCTTATTGTACTATATGCCTATATTACATTTAAAATAAGCTAAATTGGCCGTGACTGATTATAGACATATTGGGAGCTCCACCTACATGTAGTAAAACTATTGAATGGGAGATCTGTTGAACAAGTCAGTGGCAATTAGTAAACTGTTGGATAGATAAGTAAATATCTGTTAACTAGGGTTTTTACACCATGTTATACGGACGTCTTTTTGAAACAAAATTATTAAATGATACTTACTAGCAGAGTTATCAATCAAATATACTTGTTTGAATGTTACCGTTCAGTTTAGCAGTTGGATATTAACACTGGCTTAAACTAGGATCAATTATCCACTTCATAAATTTTTAATTGTTCCTTTAATCTATACATCACTTTTCAGAGCTGGAACTTAATCATTTGTTTTACTAAAGATAAATTCAATGTCTGTTTCTAGATTCCCTAAATAATGATTGAAGTAGAGTTTTGTCGTGCTGCGAAGTGCATTTACGAACCCTATATGTGTATTTTAGTTGTTAAAACACTTATCCAACTACAATGTAATCTGAATTTCGACTCAAATTTGACTCACATTACCCATCATCATAATGGGTAATGTGAACAATTATCACTATCTAGCTGAATTACTCAGTTAATCATCATTACATTCTTTTGTTTGTATTTAGATTAACACAGAACCTTAATAGATAATGTGGTTTAGAAGTCCATGTCAGATTTACACCAAATTTTACGTCAGTTTTACTGGTTCTTCTAGACCTGTACTGCATGACTTTTGTCAGAATTCTAGTGTAATAATACTGAATATTTTAAGGTTGATGGCTAGGACTTGCATCTTCCCTATAAAATATAACTTCCATTATGTCTATTTTTCCTTTTTTTTTTAAAGCGATTAGGACAAACAAGGAATTATTCAGCATTAAAAGCCATAATTATGGCTTTGCAGTCCACTCCAGTACTCCGATTATGGCATAGTTGGAATGTTTTGGAATAGTGAGTTAAAAAGATTTGTATATTTATAAAGTTTCTTCTTATATCTTATCTTTTTCATATTACGTATATGATAAACTATAGAAAAATTTATTTCAAAGCTCTTTGAATACTTTTCTTATTTCACAAGCATATGCTAATGAAAGTGATAGAGATTTTCAAATTACTCTGAGTTATTCTACTTTTTCCACATCTGTGCTGATCTTATTGGTTTAGCATGTTTTATACTAATGTCATGTGATTTTTCATCGACTTTAATATTTTCACAACTAGATAAATCTAATTCATATGATTCTTCAACAGTTTCATTTCGCTTTGCATTACTTATTAATAAAATCGGTATCTGGTTCCAAATATTCTTTATTAATATATTTTAGTATACTTTTATTCTCATAAATGATTCATATAAGAACGTTACGAACGTTAATAATAAATACATTTTTATATTTCAATAAGTAGACGTTTCATGACTTAATTTAAGCCACTTGCTCAGAATAAATAAGTAGTAATTATTACCAAAAACAAAGTTAGTAGTTAAATATTTTAGAAAAAAATAATCCAATGTCAAAGTTTTCGATTTTCAACCAATGAGTTTCACATTCAAGCTCCCACTTCACCTACTTCATTTGTGCTACTCTGGTACTCTGACTAGCCCTTGTAAAACTAAGGTTCGAAATTGAATCAAAAAACCTTTTAGAAATTCACAGTCATTTAGCTGCTATATATATATATATATATATATATATATATATATATATATATATATATATGTTAGCCTTAAGTTCCTATTCCAAAACTCTTACCATTTCACGAAGCGGACCTAGAGGGCACAACCCAAAACCAACTTTTAGTGAATACAGATGGGAAGAGTACTCCGAGGAACTCCTGAATAGGCCGGCTCTAATGAATCCACCGAACATCGAAACAGCACACACAGATCTTCCTATAGATGTCAACCCACCAACGACGGAAGAAATTAGAATGGCCGTCAGACAAATCAAGAACGGGAAAGCAGCAGGACCCGACAATATGCCAGTTGAAGCACTGAAGTCAAATCGAAGTAGCTACAAACATGCTTTACCTTCTATTCAAAAAGATTTAGGAGGAGGAACAAGTGCCGATGGACTGGAAAGAAGGACACCTCGTCAAGATTCCAAAGAAAGGAGACTTGAGCAAATTAGAAAACTACAGAGGAACCACACTACTGTCAATACCAGGAAAAGTCTTTAACAGATTGTTGCTGAACCGGATGAAGGATTCAGTAGACGCCCAACTTCGAGATCAACAAGCTGAATGTCGTAAAGATCGGTCGTGCACAGACCAAATTGCGACACTGAGGATCATCGTCGAACAATCAATTGAGTGGAACTCGTCACTGTGCATCAACTTCATTGATTATGAAAAGGCATTCGACAGTGTAGATAGGAGGACATTATGGAAACTTCTTCGACACTACGGAGTTCCTGAGAAGATTGTCAATATTATCCGGAACTCATACGACAGACCACATTGCAAGGTCGTGCATGGAGGACAGCTGACAGATGCATTCCAAGTAAGGACCGGAGTCAGACAAGGCTGTTTACTCTCTCCCTTCCTCTTTCTTCTGGTGGTCGACTGGATTATGAAGACCTCGACATCTGTAGGAAAACACGGAATACAATGGACAGCTCAGAATCAACTAGACAATTTGGACTTCGCAGATGACCTAGCCCTCCTATCGCGTACACACGAACAGATGCAGATGAAGACAGCCAGTGTAACAGCAGTCTCTGCATCAGTAGGCCTCAGCATACACAAGGGGAAAACCAAGGTCCTCAAATTCAAAGCGGAAAACAGCAATCCAATCACTCTTGATGGCGAAACTCTGGAAGATGTAGAGTCCTTCACATACCTAGGAAGCATCGTCGATGGACAAGGAGGTTCAGATGCAGACGTAAAGGCGAGGATTGGCAAAGCAAGGGTCGCATTCCTACAATTGAAGAACATATGGAACTCAAAACAACTGTCAATCAATATCAAAGTGAGAATCTTCAATACGAATGTCAAGACAGTTCTATTGTACGGAGCTGAAACTTGGAGAACTACAACAACCACAATCAAGAAAGTACAAGTATTTATAAATAGCTGTCTACGCAAGATACTCAACATCGATTGACCGGATACCATCAGCGACAGCCTTCTGTGGGAGAGAACAAACCAGCTTCCTGCTGAAGAGGAAATTCGGAAAAGATGATGGAAATGGATAGGACATATACTACGCAAATCATCAAACTGCATCACGAGGCAAGCCCCAACTTGGAATCCTGAAGGAAGGCGGAAAAGTGGAAGGCCAAAGAACACATTACGTCGGGAAATAAAAGCAGATATGGAAAGGATGAATAGGAAATGGAAGGAGCTGGAAAGGATTGCCCAGGACAGGGTTGGATGGAGAATGCTGGTGAGCGGCCTACTGTCCTTCACGAGAAGTAACAGGCGTAAGTAAGTAAATTTTCCTGAGTCCCATTTCTTTATTCGGATTCAGTCTCATCAGTTGTATAATTTATGCTCAAAGTTACTCTATTAGTGGTCCCACCATACATAAATATTGTTCGGAACCTGTTGATCTAGGATAATCAACTTATATGTATACTACAACCTCTTGCATATTTTTTCTACCTATTTTTTCCCTTTTATGTAAACCTGAATTCAGTCATTATCATGAACATTTTATGAAGTTTAAATATTTGGCTTCTGTAGTAAGCTTTGATAATAATCAAGAACAATTGAGAAAACGGTTAGATAAGGTAGGCTTTATTATTGTAACTATTTGGATGATTAAGAATATTATTATTACCGTTATTGTTGTTATTGTAATTTCTCATACAAACAAACTGAAAACCATATATCTTTTTATTACTAAGGTGGATATCGCTTGAAAATCAACTAGAATGGTTCTACAAACGTTAAATGATTAGTAATTGTATTCTATATTAAATAAAAATTTGGACTGTAACAGAATTTAAACTTATCTAAACACTTGAGTAGTTGCTTATTTCATTGATTGATTAAACAAGTTTTGTAAAACGCCATTAGAATGTTGATCTTGGTTCTGTATACCAATTTCGATTATAGAAATAGATGAAACTCTACGCATAAGGTTGTAAATCGTTTATACTGTTTAAGTTCTCTTGTTTTTTTACTTTTAAAAATAGGAATACAGATCTACATATGAGAGATTTCCTAACTGTTTTAGTTGAATTCCCTCCGTAATTAATGTCTTTCATACCATTCATTCACAGTAGACGCTTATTTTTGTACTTACATGTAAAGACGTAAAACATTTCTTTTGATAATCAGAAAAATACTAGCGCATATAAACTTTATTGATCCTTCTCAATTCTCATTTGTTAAGAAGCACAATGCAAACATCAGTGTCAGCAATTATTGTCTTCTGCACGTTTCACTATATAGAAAATCAAAATGATCTAACTCAAAAAGGTAAACAGTAAACGGTATACGTGTATGAATTCACCTATAGTCTTACTTGTGTTCTGTTAACTGATGTTACTACAAGTAGTAATAATATCAAAGTCTACACCCTTCAAATTGGGTATATGGAAGTCAGTAAACATGAAAATATTTCCCCAGTATTAAACAGTCAGTAATCAAGAATTGAAAAATCCAATAATGTTCTGGGTTAAATCCATCTTTTATCTAATATCATAGATTCCTCAGGTCTTCGAATAGTTTTTTCTTATTATCTTTAACGAAAACTCACATTTTAAAAAAGTTTTGTTGTTAGGGGATCGAAAACACTGTTTGATAATGTAAAGTGACTATTCATAAGTATAACATGGAGTAACTGATCGTTCTTTTACCTAAAATTACCCAACGTTTATGATGACTTCGAAGCTTTAGGTTTTTACGAAGGGGAGAGATCCATCTTACATCAACTGTAAAAACCAATAATGTCCAATATTGTACGAGGAAGTAGTTCAAGGAAATCTTAGTCATTTTTCTTGAAACCATTGATTAGTTTTTAATCTATCGTGTAACAGTTATTATTTACGTTCAAACTGTTGATCTTCATAAAAAGTGTGCTATTTATTACACTCCGTTTCTCGTTGATTGTCGTCACTTATAATGTAGATGTGAGTTAGTATCTCATATTCCACTTTACCTGATTCACTTAAATGTTTTGTGTGATTGCTTACATGAAGTACATAACTTCCATAGGCTTGTGTAATATAGATTCTAAAATGATTCCAACCATCGCATGGATATACAATTCACATTATAGTTTGAACGACCAATACTGTTCAATATTCAAATATTTCCAATCTAGTTATGTACTGGAACTCTTGATCATGATAACAGTAATGATGACTGTTATTTTTATATTATGTTATCAACAATACAACGATAGGGAGAATATGTTTAATTTTATTCAAAATAAGTATCAATTGCTTTAGTCACTTAGTTGTCATTAAATTGGAGGTCCAAGTCTTTTTTCATTTATAGAAGTTTGAAAGCGTAGATATTATGGTTATCTTTCATGATATCCTTGCCACTTGAGTTTTTTCGATTAAGTTAATGGATCAGTGAATTAGTCGCCCAATAGCGACCAACTGTTTAAATTTCTATTTCAGTGGTGCATTGGTAAATAATCCATGTTTTTCTGGTAATGAAAAATATGTTCTGTAGGCTCCATTTAAAATTACAGCCAAACCATTAGATACACGTTTCATTTTTATCCTTACCAGTTTATAATATCGTCAGTATGGGGTTGTGGAGATGGTTGAATTTCGTTGAAATCATGAACCGATCCACCACTAAAACCTCGGTAGTATACTGAACAGCCATTTCGTCCTAGTATGGGACTCCTAAACAATATACATCCACCATCTCACGCTCATAACTCATACCCAGAACCTTCGATCTTGTGTGCGAACGCTTAATCACTGGGCCGACATCCTATGGTGTTAATGTCTAACTTTAATCAATCCATGACATTGTGCGACCATCTTTGATTGTCTTCAATAAGTAGTTACCTCACACCACACATGGATTAGCTGTAATGGAAATTTACTCCTGAACATAGTCACAAGTAAGCAAATATTGTTCAATTCATATCTAGATATGTACCTATCATTATCGTTTCATTATATTTGGTTGGTCAAAGGAGCATTATTGTGTCATGACTTAGAAATACTTGGAAGTATTATTTGTTGCACTTTGGTCTTATAAATCACATTTTGTTTGTCTGATTTCGTGATTTAAAGTTCTCAATTTTTTTAAAAGATAGTTTTGAACATATACGTAATATATTCTAATTTTTTTCCGCCAATCAACTGATATTGGGTTTTGAAAGAAATCGTCAAGTTTTATTTGATTCAATAATGATCAATAAGACTATAAGAAATCCACTTTTACTCAAATAAATTACTTCCAACTGCATAAATATTCCGTTTCTCCTGACTCACTTCTCACTATATATGCTTGTGTAAATCTATCTACGTATTTGAATAAATTATCTAATTTTTAGGACAAAAAACTTATTTATTCACTGTGTTCCTGTTTTTGTATTCTGATACAGTGTGCGAACAAAATGTATTGGTACTTAAAACTCAACAATCCAAATCCATTATGTGTAAGTTTTGTAGAATCATTTTTTGATAATCTCCTCACAGTTAATATGTTAGAGGCAGAACACTAATTCAACAAACGTAATTGGTACTAAACATATACAGGTTTACGACGCTTAAAGTGTTGTTAACGAATTTTCGAATAAAAAAATACTAGTATTTTGTAAAAGATATTGAACTGTCCGTAAGAAGATAAACGTTGCTGTGTTAGCCTTTTGTATTTTTCGTCTGTAAATAATCTTGGGAAACAAAAGGCAAAGTTGCACATTAACAATAAGAATTTACATTTCCGAACTCAAGAATATGATTTTTCTGGAATATTTTCAACAGTCGTTTATTGCGTAATTATATTGTATGCCATCAGATGCATTCGCTCAATATTATAATATTTTGAGTAATTATTTGCTAGTTTTAAACAGCCAGAAGTGCGTTATGTAAGTGGTTTGTACTATACATCAGTATTGAAGTAAATGATGATATATTTACATTTTAACTGAAGAAATATCTTAAAGTTCCCCCATGAATAGTTTGATATATATAATATACAAATTATTCAAATCAAACTTTAGCATTTAAAGGTCAGGATTTAGATGTATGGTTCATGCGTTTCAGTTATTTACGTTCTATTTACTTACATGTTATTCATAAAGGTTTGCCTGAATACATTCTTGGCGATGACTTTTTAAAGGTAGTAATAAAGTCCATTTTTCTGAATACCTTCAATGAGTTGTCACGTCCATAGGCAGAATTAGTTCTGGTGTAATGAAAACTAACGTGGCATATTACCAAATTGAACTACATTTGATATTTTCATAAGATGTGTTCAACTATAAAAGGTGAAGTGTACAATATTGACGATTGTTGTAATGCAGACAAAATATTGATGCTGGCTCTGCGTAGACAGATTTTTATGAGAAACAGTTTTATTATCATAGTACATAGATTTAGTTTGTAAAGTTTAAGCTTCCAGTATATGAGATTATTATATAAATCATGACAATTTATGAGATTGCATAGCTACACATATTAGGTATAAAGTACAAATCGATATTAAGACAGGTGTTTTAATGTTTTCATATACCCTTATAAATATTCATGTATATTAGAGTAAAGCCTGACAACAATCAATTTGAAAACAATATTGTTCACTTATATGTATCATTTATAAAATCGTATGCAACCAAACACTACTCTTGGGGTTACTAGATCCCCAAAAATCACTTGACAAACGTCTCATTTTTGTAATTTTATTTTGAAGTCTTGAATTTCTCTTTTTCACTCCAAAAGCGCCCACTTTTACCTTAAGTTTGTATTTTCCGCTTGGGAGGACCTAAAATGTTAGTGGTTCATTTCCTCTCTTAGTACTCTATTTTGTGACGTTTTCCAATGAAAATTTTTGTACTATATATATATATATATATATATATATATATATATATATATATATATATATACGCATGTGTTGTGTGCTTGTTCGTTCGTGCTTCCGGGCTACCTGTAGAATATACATTTCCCTCGGCTGAATTTGGTCTTCTCCCTCTAGTTAGCAGGGCTGGGATGCAATGAAATAGTTTAACTTGTCCTGCTGTTGTGCTACTAACCTTCGTTTCGTTCGCCTGTTTTAAGTGACATCTCAATCTCCTCAAACGTAGCAACTACCACATTCAGTTTAAAGTGAATTTTTATTTGAATCTTCTTACAGTCCTATCCGAAAGTCACTCTGTATATGACCTTCCAAAAACAATGAATACAACAGATATATTTGTTTGTTGATAAATAAAAATAAACATCTATTAATACATTTTTCTGTTTTGTCAAACAAACATGTGATAATAATCACTTCAGTCAATAGTTTTTAGTAAAGCCATCATTATTTATTTCAGTATGTTTTTCCTCTATGTTTATGTTTCTTGAAATTTCAAATGTACTTTTAAGCCATCTGTTTGTGTTTCCTTTTTAATCGGTATTGTTATTTTTTTCATTTATTTAAAAGCTATTGTTAGGCAGAGTTGAATGATTGTATTGTAATAGAACTTTCCATGATATTCAATTGGTTGTTTGGTTTAAATATGGTAAAATTGTAATCATTAGGATATAACTTGAGTTTTTCTACATATGTTCAATAAAAATTACTGCTTTGAATCCTTATTGTTCACAGTTAATGCTTAGAGCCCACTGACACAAAGCCCTGGATCTATGTTCTCTGCTGGGTTTGTACTCTTCAAAATTGAAGAGACTAATGTGTTCGGGAAAATTTGAAACACAATACATGGTGGCTTAGTTAAAGATGTTACAATTAAGTTATTCGTTTTCCGACCGAATTTCTAACCATATTATCACCACCGACTAGTATCTGATGTCATATTGTTTCTAGTCTTTAATAGCAATAGGATTTATCGACAAGTTTGCAGTGTTTCCGCTGAAATAAGTAATCTGACTTCGTAGTACACCGTGTTGGCTATCAGAAGTTTCGTGGTGTTCTGGTATTATGCATAGATTATTTGAGTACAGGTAAGTTTACATAAAAAATACCAGTAAAAATTTGACGAATAGATTAAAATTGACCAGTATCTTATATATATCAACCACTAAGAGATTCTGAACAGATCCATGATTTATTCATTTACTGAACTCCATAATTTGTTGACTTATTGTTCTTTTCGATTCTCCCAAACTATCATATCTTTTATATTGCGTCTTATCTTTTCTTTTGGTTTATTTAATATGATCTACTTTTGATACGCACCTACCGACTTTCTCGTTTAAATTACATAATGAAATGGTTTCAGTCAATATAATTTTAAAGTATTTCATAAATTTCTAACAAACCACTAACAATAAGCTTGTTAATGTATAAAATTAACGAACTCATTTCCTTTTCTTACTTTTTATCAACTTCAGCAGAAATCCTTAAGTTACAATAGACTCAAATTGGTCACTATTTACTAGTTAATCAATTGTAAATATCTTAGTTCTACAGATCAGTTGCAGCCAGTATACCTTAATAGTAACGTTTCGGATCGTGAAGCTAGGTGGTGCAGATTTGAATTCATCAGTGAGAAACAGTTCCTTAAAGAATACAGCTATACCTTACGAACGCCAACTAACAAGAAACCTAAGTCTAGGGTTTCTTGCCGGCCACCTTTAAACACCTGACATTTAACACACGCGATGTCGAGTCAATTAAACTACTGGTTACATTGGGACTTGATTGATATAATTTGATTAGCACTAAAGGACTAAATAAGCATGACCTTGGTCTCTATTCATCAGTTGATCAGTTACAAATGAGCTCCTTTTAAATTATTCTACGTAAAAGAGCACAACGTTCCAATAAAATTACACCAATACAATCAAAGTTGGTCGGCGATTCATACAATACAATTAATGATTCTGGAAAAAGTGGAAAATAAAATGTTCAGACAGAAATTAAAATTAGATAATCATACTCAAAATTAAACTCAGTAAGGAAAAATGAGCTGAGTAACAGTTGTTTCGAGGTTGCAAACACTACTCGCTTGCTATCTAACATCCAAAAAAGTACACAATGATTTCGAGCCATTTAGTTTATTGCTCATACAGAAAATTTGGTTAATTGAATTCAACCAGAACTAGAGAGTAAGCAGTAAAACATCGGTTAGTATCCAATCGTAATGCCAAAATGACAGATCATTCATAACCTATAAAACTCACAAATGACGTCCTTAATTGTTTCATTGGATGACGCAGGTCTAAATCTCTTTGGCAGTATTATTTCCTCTAGGATTGAGGGCATAGTCTATTGACGTTTCCTGATCAGTACAGAATGGATGTATCTGTTACCAAAGCGAAGTAAACATAGTATTTACTGCATATCTTCTACTTTAAAGTCTTGGTATGCTTCTATTTTATATCTTGTTTCTATCATATGCTTTTATTACTATCTCTAATGTATTAATTACGACTATTTAATTTAAGTATTTTAGATTCGTTATACTTTGCTCATTTTTTGCTTCTGCTTCTTAGGGAGACATAAGCAGACCTGGTGATATCTCACAATTTGAAGATTCTGATGCAGAATATAGCAGGAGGACTAAGCATTCAACTTTAGTGAGTGATCAATTCATGTACCTCGTGTAAATATATCATGTCGAATGTTTATATCATTTCTAAATAAATCTCCAATCACAGATTGATATCATTAGAAATCAAGATGTATTGAACAGTTTTCCTTTTATAGTTGGAGACGTTTTTTATTTACCGTGTCTGACATACCACGTAATTTAAAAATTATGATTCATACTATTGGTAATGGTTTGTTATTCTGCTGTTGTAAATATCGTACCTTTTCTGTATGCTATTGGCTCTCGGGACTCTGTATTCCAATTGATAACGCACTAGTTTTTGTAATAAATGGTATTAGGTATGAGTCTTGGTTTCTATGCCTACATTCGGTTGCAGGTGCCTTCATCTGAATTCTAAGTAGGAAAAGACGCACGTCCTGAATATAATTTCTTTAGCTATGTCGCATCTGAAATTTGTGGTGTTGCGTTCATTTTTGGCTTTTAAAGACAAATTATAGCTATCCATCTGCAAAAAACTGGTATATTTTTTATCCATGTACCTTAAACTTTGCATTGTTTATTGGGATTTTCCTCTCAAAATTTACAACTCATTACCAGTTACCTATACAGGTACTCCGTAATGTGTTATATTTTTTCAAGGAAGCTGTAGTGATAATACCCACTTTCCTAAATCGAATGGGCATAAGATTTGTTGAAGACTGTAACAACGATAATTTAAAGTTACCTGTTTTAACCACTAAGCAAATGCTTAACTTACATGACTAATTTCTGACCATAACTTCTACCTTGGCATATTTGCGCACTAACATTAACGTCAAATTACTTTTTATTCGTTTGTTTATTTTTAATCTTTACATTTTCAGCCAAATCAGTCATCGTATTTAAGTGGTGTCATACCGTATCTCGGTGTATTTCTTAGTGATTTAACTTTATTGCATCATTCGTCACCGGATTATATCAGTCGATCAAAATATTCCCCATCAAATGAGACTAAACAAGAAATTAATACAAATAATCAGGAAAGTGCCCTCGCTTCTACTACTACTACTGATGATAATAATAGCAATAATAATATTAATTCATCAGTAATCAATCCAATAAATAATACTAATGATTTTTCAAAACAATCAGTTAAAAATCAGTATGGTAAAATAAAGCTGTTGCATATATCAGATCAACTTGGGAATTTCACGCGAAGTACACCTGATTTATCAGCAGTAATAGCATCGTCATCAACCGTACAATCAGATAATAACAGTACGAAACAATCCTGGAAATTATTAAAAAATGTATCATCAAATACAAATGTCCCACCTATTAAACCTTCAGTTTCTGCTGATCGTAATGATAATATCCAATTAAATGGGCGTGTCAAGGTAAATGTAATTTCACAAATTGTTATAGAGATTAATTTGTTGTTCTTTTGCTTGGGCAAAAGAGTTTAAATTATAATTTAATGATAATGTTTATTATCACTGTCATTACTGTTATCTATTTCGTCCAAAATATATTCCTCTGATTGATTTACGTGATTTAGTTTTGAAATGGCATGTAATCAATAAAATGAATGCAACGTGGATAACTTGTCATACTAACCATCTTTTAAGGAATCATATATTTTTACTACAAAATCCAAGAATGTCTTGGTAAAATATGAGAACCATACAATGAATACTTCATTTGCGAATTTCCATTATTTGTCCATCGAATTCTGTGTGGTTCTTCCTATTCGCAATTCCTTTCTACTCTCTTCAACTTGATCTTCTTAGCCTTCTGGTACCAGTGTTTCCACTTCTGATTGGTGTTACATACTACTTATGTCTGTCAACATAAGTAGCATACACCACAGGATCCACCAGTTAGTATTAAAGTTAAACTTAGATTATTGGACACAAATAGCAAAGTGCTTGGCAAGATCGTGAATCCTCACCCATTGAGGTGGTTATGACGTATAATATGTATGGTCATTCACACCCTACCTCGAAGTATGATGATGACCAACTGGTGTAGGAGTAGATTGGAAGAAAGCTAGTCGCGCCTGAACACAGACATGTAATAGATACAATAAGTCGTTTATTGTTGTTTTGAGGCATATGATCAGGTTTAGACCACCTCTTTATATTCGACACGATTACCACAACCAGGAACCTTTGGTTAGAATCGGTCCCCAAAACCTGAGTTTCGAAGGTATTTTTTACTTTGTATTCTACAGATTCACTCGTTTTTTCCGAAACTAATTCTCTATACCCATTCTTTTTACAACCATTTATGCTACTACTGCCTAGCGTTTCTTAGCAGGGTTCTTTTCTATAGGATGCAGTTATCACTCTATGCCCAACTCTCATCTGTCATCCGGACAGTAACCGTAATAGGGTTTCAAGAGGAGATGATACTACTACTACCCTGATATTCATATTGTTAATCTAGTCTCACTTTCGTAATACGATGTGACAAATTGGACCAAATAGCATATGTGTCAGGCATTTTTGTTGATTATAACTGACTGGTCATTGATCAGAAATTTTAATCAGTTGTGTATAGCATTCATTTACGTCCAATCAATTGCTAATATCACTACGTAGTTCACACTTAGTGAGAACAATTTAGTCCCTTGAATTAATATTGTTTTAAAATCCAAACTAAACTAACAATCTAATATTTTTGTATTCCTGTAATAGAAGAAAATCGATATCACTAATGCTAACTTATATATGGACTGTTCACTAATTCATTAAAATTTATCTGTTAAGATCAAAAGTCCATCATGAAAAAAAATTTTTTCTCAAATATCTAAATAATGACTATGACTACTTTTACGGGGTTGTCTTCGGTAAAACGGGATCAATCATTAATTTCGTATTATTGATCTACGTTTTAAATATCATTTTTACTGATATGTCACTATTCTTCTTTTTTGGGTAGTGTTTTTTATGTAGTATAACTTTTCAGTAGGTTAATAATCAACGGTAATTTCCAATCAGATTGTCTCATTGTGAGACATCACTCACGTGTGTCACATGAGTATAAACGATTTGATCTTATAGTAATGATGTCGATAATGATAATAATAACATAAAATACTTGATTAGTCATTAAAAGAATGCAATGAATACTTCAAAATCATCATTGTTACGTGCAATTTCGTAATTTGTTTGGAAATTTCTCAATACTGGTCAGATATTTTATTTGAATTACAGTATTGTTTGATGTATCAATCACCGTCTTGATCTTGAATTTCAACTAGTCGATTAAATTAAATAAGTCATTGGTTCATGGAACGGTGGCTCAAATGTTTTTGCGTTTGACTTTAAGTCGCTAATTCACAAGTTAGAACCTCATTCCACTTACCTCGGTTTATGTAACTGAGTAGTCTCACTAATCATTTAGCATTGTAATCAAATGCATTCTAGAGAGATTTGCTTGTGCTATGTAATAAAAAAACGTGAACAAAACTAGTTCTTCTAGTAGTCCTTATTTAAGTAATTGGCAGCGATTAAGTTCCAACAGTGTCATCAATTAACAATAAAGATCCACACGAATTTTAATTGCTGATGCTTTAGGTGAAAATGAGCCATGATTTACTATTGTGTGTTTAAATTAAACTATTCTTTGACGTATAGTTCGGTTCTCAATTGTTGGTCTGAATTGTGTATTTGTGTATCGCGTGATCTAACTATCAAGTATCATGATATATATTGTTAGTGTGTTTATGTTCTTACCTACCAGTCGGTTATCTATTCTAGTATCGTATCGACAATATTTTTCTCATTTCAACAACATATTTTGCTGTTACTTGTACCACTCAATACTCTCTTGAGTAGTTATCATTCATCATAGTATTACCTTCAGTTCATATCTTACGCTGTAATAAACTGTCTCATTGTCGCCCTCGTTCACGTCGTCAGCACATAACCTGTCCAAAAACCATGAAACTATTAGTTTTGTATTACCGATATTTGAAAATCACAAGAACTTCTCATCAATGTATACCTATGGAAATAACTATTGTTGCTCATTCAACTTCAATTACACTGTAATAATACTTTATCTATCCCTTTCCTTATCTTCACTTAACAGCTTCAGTTTGTGTGTTTTTTATGATAAATCAATACTGTAATCTTTTTTTCTCAAACTGTAACAGAATAAATCACTCATGTGATTCAATCTGCTTAACTACACTAATATTTTCTTTTAGATATTTATCATTGCATTACTATTTATTCTGCTTCATTCTGATAATTTTATTAAGAAGTATTAAGTTTTCAAAGGATCATCTCCTTACGTATATGTGTAGTGACATAAACAATCATATGACTGTTGATAAGACAAAATGAGTAGCTAGAATTAAAAACAAATAATCCAAAGAGATTTATCAATATTTTCTCCAGTATAGTGGTGCTTTTCTCAATGAAATATCTCCTTACTCTCATCTGGATTAGTATCTGTCTTGATAAGATGATTATTCATGTGATAGTCATGATGTTCTCATATCCTTTGTTTTTATCTTTTGCTACGTAATAAAAGTACTAAGATTTCATACAGTAGCTAACGTGTATTCATCAATAAGCTTAAGGGTCAAGGTAGCATCTTAAAAACAATCAGGTTTTCGTCCAACGGAAGTATTTTCATGATAGAAGACATACTATGTTAGACTATTAACATGTATTGTTTCCTTATGTTAACTTTTATGATTTACTTGTGGTTGTAACTACAGTTTATGGACAAATTTTGAATGACTCTTACAGGCAAATGCCTAATCGTGAAGATTTCCTCCGGATAAACATAGGAATGTTAGAAAGCTTTGTTTTTTGTTTTTATTTAGTCCTATCGTCTAGACTGTAATAAGGATACTTTTAATCGTAATTTCCTGAAAAATAGAAGCTAAATGACATGACATGAGATAGATGAGTGTTGCTAAATATAATGAATTGATCAAAGTTAAACATGAAAGCTGTTGGATGTCGGTCTAATGATCTAAAGAATAAACGTTCGAATGCGAGACCGAGGGTCCTAAGTTTGGTTTCCGTATGGGCACTACTGAGGAGTCCCACACTACAACGAAACGACTGTCCAATGCTTCCAGGTCTTCAGTCCTGGTCTAGCAAAGATCTGTCCGCAATTGAAACTATAGGCAATTTAACCTAGTTGGGATTCAAATTCTAAACATCAGTTATGTTTATTAACTTTCTATTTTTTGTGTCCCTAGTCAACTTAACATAATTGTTTATCCACTGATGATAATCTTGTGTGACAACAATCATTTCATAAAATCTGTCTACATTTAAAATAAATATTTTTACCCTGAACAGCAAAATCTTGTAATAATATTGTTAACTATTCAGTTAATAATCCATGATGTAAACTATGAAAATTCAAAAATCTCCATAAAGACTTTTAGCGATAATAATGTGCTCATTAGTCACTAACTTTGAGTGACAGTTCCAGGAGTTCTAGTGAGAAGCTGGGACTATTGGAGTTTAACCAAGTCAAATGTGAGACACTTATCCTCCACGGGCGACGAAGGACTGTCACGTAGCATCACCAGTTGGTTGAAATTATTGGTTTCCGACTCATTAGTTTCAAGGTCAAGGGCTCATCGTCATAACTAAAAGTTTTTACTAGATGAACACTAATCTCCGATCAGTTTAAAACATTCGAGAAATAAAGTCTTAGCATAATGATTTAAGGACATAGTTTTTTTTATTATTGTATCACACATTGAGCTCAGCTAAATGGTACCTAGACTCACTTGTTAGCTATTAGTAGTATCAGCATTCATGAATATAATTGTGACCTCAAGCATGAACACGTACGTGATTAGAGTTACATGACTTGATAAAATAATTATTTCCATCCTGATAAAAATTAAATTCCCAGTTCCGTATTTTATAACATAGTTGGAGCTTGAGAAGCGCTAGCTGTTATATAACACTAAATGGATTAGTAAACCTCGTTTAAGATTTAATTAAGGGTTGAAACTTCTGTCATTCGAATCACTGTTCAAAGAATGTTTGATTGTTAAATTACTCAATTTCTAAAGACTGGGTCTCATATCAGAACTGTACACCTACTTTGGTTTATTCAACCGAACAGGATTATTATTGACCGTTCCATAAAGTCGTGTACATAAGCCTATCATTAGTCACTGAGTTGGATTTTATTGATGAAATCATAAGATGCTTTTAAAAAACCTTGTTTAACATTCATTTATTTAAAGAGAATGTTCAACATGTTATTTAATTATTTGGAGGTAGTTAGCTTAAAACTCTGGATCCAGGTTTCGTGATAGTTGGCATTATACATCATGTAATATGTGATCAAAATTTATTAGCTTAATTGATGAATATATATGTCTGCATTTTATTTAGTTTGTTATAATTTTTATAGAAGGAAAAGTTTGGCCTTTCTAGACGTCATTCTACAACTGATAGTGCTGATGACAAATTAATCAATCTGGATAAACATCGTCGAGAGTTTAGAATTCTAGCAAATATTTTTCTTCTTCAACAAAATGCCCAATTTTATTCACTTAGACCTGAACCAGATTTTATTACATGGTTTCATTCTTATCCATTAATCTCAGAAAATGAAGCGTAAGTTTATTCCATCAGTTATATTTATTGTCATTTTTTATCGACATTAGCGTTATTGTAGAACAGACTACAATAATTTTCACTTACAATCAGTATATTATGAGGATATATGGTTATCTTTTGGATTTTTTGTTAATTTTAAAAAGCTCTCACTATGGACTTATTCCATTTAAAGTACTATTGAAAATCAGAGATAGTGTGGATGATTTTGAGCATTGACATTGAGTGAAAATGTGCTATATCTCAGAATGACTACATTTGAAGAAATCTTGCTCATTGTGAAACTATGGTATCAGGTGTTGTTATAAATTCCCAAGACCAAGAAGTTTCATACTACAGTGAGATGGCTCCCTACTGTTACCAGGTTCTAAACAGTTGATTCTGGAACTTCCTTCAAGTCGTTTTATCTTGAAACTTATCTACACTTAAAGCCCCCCTCCATAATCCAACATTCGTAATCAGTAGTTTTTAAAACTTTTTTTTATATGTCAGAGCTGACCAATTTTAGTTAAGACGTTTGGAATAGTTTCAGTTACCTCGAGAGTACAAAAATATTTTGTCAATGTGTGCCAACTAAACCCAGGCTTAATTTTATGATTTACTATCAGTTACTACCAACCATCTAACATTTAAAGCTTGAATCTATAACTAAGTCGATCATTTCCTATCTGGCACAAGTGAGGTCTCCGAAATGCAAATAGCCTGCTATTTCTTTCTTATACCTCTTTTTATTCATTCTGATTGTAGTGAAGATATTCTCCTAATTTGTTTATTCACTGATTATTTATTTTATAACTACAGTCTCAATCGTTCTTGTGATCTAGAACCAGTTGATGAACAAATACAACAGCATATAAATAGACCTTTCAGGTAAGTAGAGTTTTAATAATTAAATTGAGAATTTATCCTACTTTCTGTCTATAACTATTACAATGCAAATAATCACTCAAAGTTTATCAAATTATATCTTCACAAAATTTAATAATATTCAAGTACACTGTCATATATTTAGGATTGTCGATCAAATATTAGGTTGTGTTGTATGTAAAAATCAAGTATCCCGTTCGATTTTAAAGTATATAGTTCACAAAAAAATTTTCAACTCAATGATCCAGTTATCTTGTTCAATTTTATGTACTAAGTATAGCTGAAGTCCTGATCATTAAATATACAAGTTTCGTAGTAAAGCGATACCAGTTAGTTTATTTATGAAGCTGTAAATAACTAGTAAATAGTCACATTACCAACGATCGATTGGCATCAATCAAATATTTTATAAAATGATAAATAAATATTGCACTTAAAAATATTGAATACAGTAATATCATATAGTATAGATTTCTGTTATATATGCCAAAACTTTTGTAATTTTTTAAAGCATAGCAACTTGATCGCATCCTATTTAAAGCTCTACATAGTTTCGATCAGGCCAGAAAATTATCAAATAGCGGATACTTTGTAAACTAGGAATTCTCTTAAACCAGCTCACATCGACTTGGTTTCAGCGAAATAAGTTTCTTAATAAATAATTCTATTCGACTGATGTTACGAGCATTCTTCGATAAGGTGTATTGTCCAGTCAAAATTATTCTTACTGAGTCAGTAAAACATACACTCTCTGGAGAAAATGTAGTGGTCAGTTTAACGCATTACTTCATTTCACATTGTTTAACTAAGTATTGACTTTTTTAAGGGAATTTCTGCATTCAGATAGGAAATATTCCACGCATTCTTGTATATTCAGTTAAGGTATTCGAAATTTCTCACATTTTTTCAGGATCAGGACTGTGTCAAGTTTTGTGAACGATGTCAAAGCATAAGATTGACAATGCTAAATATGCATAACATCTCGCTTGATTACTTAAGATAAAAAAATGTTTGTAAGCCCTAACTTTATAAATTTTAGTGTGAATGGCCTTCATTAGAATGACTTTATTACAAGATTCTACGATCACTAACTAGTAGCTACATTTCCATTTTAATTGTTTTCTTGTACATTATGTACTGCGTCATCCTTTTTGTTGTAATCTACATTTACCAGGACTTTTGAAGAAACAATTGATAAATGCTATTTTAACTTTTCTGGCTTTCTAGTTCATTCAAACCAGCTTTTACCGTTTGTTTTATTTGTAAAGTGTTTTACACACATTTCTGTTATTTAAAATATCAGTAAGAATCCGTCTGTTCAGTTTTCCTCAGTTTACCATTTAGTGTGAACTTACTTTACATGAGGTTTCTGACTCTTAAAATCAGTGTTTTTTTTCCTTACCGATATGCTTCGAACTAAGAGCTAAACAATTATATATAGTAAACCCTATTTTCACTTTTAAAAGATTTTCAATTGATTTAAGTGAGGGAAAACTGTCGTGAAAATCAATTTTACACTATAATAATTTGAAATGTGTCCAACCTTACTATATGCTATGTTTGTGAAAAAGTGTCAAAAGCGTTTAAGTATTCACCTTTGAGCTAGTTAGTCTGCAGTTCAAACTCAGTCCGTTTATTTCTGTTTTAGCAGCTCATTAGTTTCTACTAGCTATCCATTAAACAGTGTGGCTAAAGTTTGAGCGCATAAACTTATACTTCATAATTTACACAAAATTATTCAGTGAATGTTAGATTAACTTCCTCTTATTTTTAATTTTCATTCAGCGCATCTCCATATACATTTGATACAAGTGATTCAAGTGGTGCACTCGATATAATAAATAGTAATAAATCACGACACCCACGTAATAATACAAATATCCATGTAGAAAGATCTAAATATGCTATAACCCGTCCACCTAGTGCTACAGCTATTGGTGCCACTACTACTACATCACTCATGAGGAATCCTAACACTAACATTAGTATTATTAATAGTATTAGTCCAGGTCGAAATAATAAATCACGAATTAATGGAACATATTCATCAAGTGATTTACTTAATGATATCAAATACAACAGGTCAACAACTACTGACGAACTAATCACAGGAAATAGTTTGGAAATTTTATATCAGCAAAATAACCACAAACATAATATGAAAGTAAGTAACTATTTTATTGCACAATAGTAGAAATAGGGTAAAAGTGAAATTGTCATGATAATTCTTTGACGAAATATTTTGTATACTTTGCAAATATATTATTTATTAAATAATTGTTTAGTGGTATATTTCTATTGTATTTAATGTATGATATCTTTTAAGTCATTAGTTATTGCTTTGTCTCTTTTATAAATTCAATGTTCCACTTATGTACCTATTTAGGTCCATAAATCGTGGTATCGTATGGTCAGTGATTTTATTTACAGGATCACGTGAATTATGAGAAGAATTAATCAACTATACTTGTAACCACTTATGTGGTTTTCTACTATTCTAATAAGAGATTCAATCAAGTAGGAATATGTGTGGTCTGTAGATTGTGTGATGAAAGTACTAAGACTCAATTGTTCAATATAATTTCAATAACATAAAAGACAAAAGCGTATTGCCTTTATTTTCTCAAAAAATTCTAGAAAAGTCAAAAAGCCTTTGTTTCCACTTATTCGAAATTATGATGTGATTTTGACTAAGAAAATTTCTTGGATAGATTTCAGTAATGTGAATATAGGTTTTCTGTGTTAAATATTGATTATTCAGTTCTTACAGATAAATTATTGATTAAAATGATTCCATTTAGTACAACCGAGTACATTGCACTAAATAACACAAATCAAAACAAATACTGTTGCTATCCGCAATTTACTACGTCTAAACGAGTTGCAAGAATATCAGATAACAACACCTGTCCTGAAAGTTCGGAAAATTGTTATTTAGTAAAAATACAACTTTTTAAACACGTTTTTAACTATAGGAACATTTAATTTGGTAATGAGTCTGCTAGTATTACTGCCAAGGGTTGACTTGATACTTTCCAATCAACTAGATTTTGAATAGAACGTTGATGATAAAATAATTATGATATTTTTTGATATCTCAATGAGTAAAAAGCAGACTCTCAGATGTGTTTTGATTTAATTTAAGTTGCCTTTACAGAGTAAATGAATGAATAACCAAAATCAAATTGGCAAAGATAATCTGTCTTGTTTCTCTAAGCTACCTAAATTTCTGTTCATTTTATTTTGGTTATTTATTTACTGACTTTTAAGAAACAGTTCAAATTAAGCTGCAAAACGTAAACAACTCGAATATCCACTCGTTGAGATATCAAAAATGTATCATAATGTTTTCATATGAACACCCATCACAATTTGAACGAATATTCTGACATAAATTAGACGCTAAAGCGTAAAATTCATATCTGAAAAATCCCTAAAGAATCTCGAATCAGTTTGCCCAATGGAATGTTAGAATTATTCGAATATCAATCTCCGAGACTGGTCAAACATTATTTTTCATATGTAATAAATTTTCAACTAATTCGAAGGGGAAGTGTTTGTTCACTCATTACCTCAACACAAACATAAATTATAAATGAAGATCACTGAGACCACACAGTGTCATAGATCAAAATATACACTGGATAAGGTTGTATGTTGTCAAACATAAGTGAACTATTTCCTGTCGACCTTCTACTGCGGACATTGAATATATCTCAAAAACCACTATTATTAAAATTAGTTTGGCAAAGAAAAGTTGTTTACTAGCGAGAAAAATCAACTGTAAATTTTATATTTAGAGTTCATGAAATAAAAAAGAACGCCTTAGTTACGTTTATTTACATACAAAAATGTCAGGTATGGTTCTCGTCACAGAAAGAATAATTTACGCAATATGTAATATTTATAAGTGTTTTAGTTATCGATGAAGTAGATTTTTAAAATAAATAAGAATTCGCCATAACGATTCTTTCTTTCTTTCTTTCTGAGTTGTATCTTTTACCAGTGCTTTTTTCTCTATACTATACTAGGACGAAGCAACTACCCAATACTTCTTTCTCTATACTCGTTCTATTAATAAAACCGGTCTGTGATGTGAACCCTACAGTTTTCACAGTCCCGTCATACTACTAACAATAGAAAAATTATCTTATTGACAGTGAGTTCATATACGTAGTCAGCCTCCTGAAGATGATCTCTTTTGATTCGGATCAACTAATTGATGGGTTGCATGACCTTGATATTGTCCGTTAATAGTTAGTCGAATATTAAAAGATGATAGGAACCCATATAGCTGACTGACGTTAGGTGTCATCTAACACTAAATTATAATACTTTATAAACTCTTCTTTTCAACCTTTATAGACATCAACTTCTAGATGGAACACACACAAAAGTTCATCGACTACATTCGATGCACGTAATGATAGCAATAGTAACAACAGTAATTTATGCATTACTGTTTCTTTGCATCATACAAATAGTCAGCAAGATGGCCGTGTATCACCATTTATTGCTAAAGTTGCTCAATTAGGTAGCCTGTCTCATGGATCGCATGGCCATAACGATATTCGTTTTTCTAATTCGAAACAAACGCAACCCACAATTCAATTGGTAAGTATTCAAAAACAGCAAAACGTATCTATTTATTCATTTGTATTAGGTATTTTAAATGAAATGTAGAGAAAGATTCAGAATGACCCGGGTATGTTTAAGATGTTGTCTAAATGATAGAATACATGGCATTTGGAGGGGAAGATTCTAACGTATCAAAAATACTGTTTTCCGGTCACTGGTGTCTCAAAACTCTCGATGAATATGTCTTCATTGGGTTCATTTTAGACAGACTTGCAGGATAATGTTTACATCTAACTTGCGATGTGGTAGGATGAAATAGTTGTCTTGTACGCCTTAGATTTCGATTAATGTGGCCTGTTACGCCTCGTAGAACATTGATGTCTAAAAATATTTGATGAATATATCTTCATTAGGTTCAGTATAGGTTGGTTTGCAGGACAGTTTTAAACCAATCCGTTAAATTTTATTTTATTTCGATAGTATTATATTTATCTTTGTTACTTTGGTAATAGGTCTTATTCAATAATTGTTTATTTATGATTCATTTATTCATTTGAACACAAATATTGGTCGAGCTTTGTTCTTTGTACCTACTCTTACTAACATATTTCTGCAATAATGTCGTTCGTTTTGTAAGGTCATCAAATCAGCCATAGTATTTGGACACGACGAAAGGGTGATTCACGTTAGATACTGGCCGCCAGGTGTAACTTTTACTGGAGTGGGCTCCTAATCATCCGACATAGATGATCTAAGTTGTAATCCACACTGTTTAGCACTTTTTCAAAAATACATTTAGGCTTCGGATTGAATATTACAGGTAATGGGGGAAGATATGACCTACACAAAATCACCACACCTGCATAGCCAATCAATGCCATGATGAACAATTATTTTAAGGTTCACCATTTTTTACTTTGTTTTACTGTTACACGTTGACTATAAATCTTCCCGGTAATATGTGTTCATAAGCAAAGATAGATGGTGGCTAGCAGTGGAATCCAGGACGCGCGTTTCTCCCTATTTGAGACTCGTCAGCTGGACGTACCTGCATCTCAGAGTTGATGTTCACTGTGGGACTCGAACGCAGTACCGTTCGCTTCAAACGCTTCTTGTTATCCACTTGGCTACTGAGTCCCAAATAGGACGAAACGCGCATCCTGGATTCCACTGCTAGCCACTATTCATCTTTGCTTGTAATGCCTGTTAATTGAGGTAATGTCGAAGAAATACACACAATATGCACATATGCCAATTAGAGATTGATCAATAGGAAGATTCAAGTAAAAAAATACCAAGTGAAATTAAATCATATGTTCAGCTTCAAAGATCGAGCCTTTCCATTTCGTGTTTTCACATCTTCATCATATCCTTCCAGTCTTTCGACTATGCTGCCGAGATGTGTGGTTTTCGCGGTGTTTGTGATCCGGTGGGACCCATTTAGCTTTGTGTATGCGTTGTGGTGAAGTATAGTGCCAGATAAATTTTCAAGTTTTTCACCATTCTCCTTTGTTTCTCCAAGTCCATTCCATCCCAAAATATGTTCATATCCAGTGTTGTCTATCCCGACTTCGTTTAATGTCTATCTAAAGTTAACCAATGATGTAGATCATCTTCCTCGCCCTGTGTATAATCTCTTTTTTAGCTACGGTCACGCATGCTATGGTAGAACCGCCTACGAGCACTACATTTTTAAATAGTTCTCCAGCTGCTATCAACTAGTGACTTTAAACAATGTCCCTCATCCAAACATTTTGTTAGAAGTTAGCAGGTGAATAATTGTCGTGAGTAACACATTGCTAAAATGTGTTTTTTTTTCATGTTGAAATCGCAATCGACATTTCTAGTAAACAAAATCCTACACAGTGAACAGATCGCAACATCCTCATCTGATTTTCATTCTGTAGGGATTCATACATTATCAGCCTACGGCGGAACGCCGTCTCCATTATTCATAAACAGTTTCTCAGAATAATGTCAAATCCTCTATGAGTATCCACGTATTTTTCTAATACAAAATTCCCGTCATAATCCATATCGTTTACATATATTTTCTAAAATATTTTCTTAATAGTCGGTTTCTCCTGTGGATAGTGTTTCTGACGTACTATCGAAAGCCCTTAAATTATTTGGTTGTGCCGATCAAAAGGTTGATAATTATGATCTAATTCATGTCCGTAAAGATGCTCGAGGTAAGTGGTTTTTGTAATATTTCAAGAATTTTATTTGTTTTCGTTCTTTTTTAATAATATCGTCACTGAATGGTAGTTTCGTTATAGTACACACACAACCCCCAAAATTTTGCCCTCAAATGCCCTGGTACGGTCGAGAGTGGGGAGAGTCCGCTCTCCCTCTCGAAATGCTCTCACATGGCCACGCGTATATAGCCTATTCCAGGGAAGTCCCACTCACTGCCTTCTCGTGGCGGGGGTGTTGTTTACGAAATTGAAAAGACGAAAAGCGAATATCCCGTGCTTTAACCGTGTTGGTGGACATGGAGAGTCTACCTAGGGGAGTTGGAAAACCCTTATTCCAGACCACTGGTGCACATGGGCTCCAGTATCCTGAAGGAACAAATAAAGTATGAACCAATCGTTGGTCACCGGCTACCATGGGACTTAATCTCCTTACGATGCTCCACTACCTTATGGATCAGATCTTCAGGTCGAAGGCTCCGTGTGTGGGCTCCTAAGAAAACCACCTGCTTTGGTTTGGGCACCCGGGCAGTATCACAGCCCTCACACATATCAAGTGAGACTTGTGTGGCGCATATGTATTTGCTGCCTTCTTGTACCAATATCTATGCGCTAAAATAAATAAAATAAAGCACACACAATCCTACTATAAACGATTGGACTTGAGTTTTTCAGATCTTGAGGCGAGCTCTTAATTTGCAGACCACCGAGCAGTCATCCTATAATGTACATTTCTAACTTAAACCATATTGCAACATTGAGCAACCATCTTCCATTATCTTCATACTCGAAATTGTTGGATTCCCCTGATCACGGCTTCTCACTAGAACTCTGAGAATCAGTAACATTCAATATCTTCTGAAGCCTCTATACTGATAATTATCATGTGCTTACTTGTGACCGATTTTAAGAGTAATATCCAGTTTTGGTGACCAATGAATTTTAACTATATCACGTGGGGCAATTTCCCTCCTAAGATTATAAAAGATGGTCGCGCAGTATCACGAACTGGTTGAAGTTAGACATGTACACCACCAAATCCCGGTGAAGTATGTTAGAGATTAAGCGCTCGCCACAAGACCTGAAGACCATGGCTTTGATCTCCTGTGACGAGGTCGTGTATACACACCACTGAGGAGTCTCTCGGTTACTTACTGCCCAGTGCCTCATGTTTTTAATGGATGGTCGATTTGTGACATCAGTAACATTCAAAAGTCTCCACAAAACCCTTATACTGATCGTCTGTTAATTTTTGACCTATTTTTACTGAGACAGTCGAAAAATTAGTGGTAGGTATAAATTGTGTAGAAAATTGTTTACTCTTTGTATTTTAATCTACCTACGTTCTCTGTGCAGTATCACTGTTTTCTACTGACTTTGTTAGTTTGATGTGTATTTTTAAATAATCATCAAGTATCTGCATTCTTATTAAACTGCTCTGGTTGTATAGTGCTTAAAACTGGCGGATAAAACGTCTGTGATCTAAATTTTGCGCTTAGCAGCTCTTTCGAATCTGAAAATATTCAATATATCAAAGGGTATACGCATCCCTGGTCCTAAAGATGTCTTTTTGATATGTTTTAAAAAGTATAGAGTCTACTCTCATAAATAACCTGTCGGATTACAACTAACAATCGTTACACTCTAATAGCAATGTAACACTATATTGTATCTCTTAAAATTAGTGACTGGATTTTCATCTTCATTACTGAACAGTTACTATCTAATGAATAGTCGATAAATGTAAAACTATAACATTTTGTTTCTTTAATTTACTCTTTTCTCCCGTTTTCATTTCCCACAGATGTAACTCTACCAAAAAATTTCAACTTTTATGAATCGATAAATTATTCTTCCTTTCATTTATCAAATAATAAACATTATGAATTATTAGAATTTATTTGTACACCAACTATTCATAATGAGAATAATAATGACAACAATAGTAGTAACTATAGTAATAGTTTAAACAGTTCACCATCATCATCGTCAGCAGCATATATAAAAACTAACAATAACACAAATTATCATGGTAAAAATCACAATCCACAGCCTAACAGGACTACAATTGAATATGCTAAACACTATAAATTAACAAGTAAAAGCTCTAATAAACATTGTACTGTTGAATTATGGTCATGAACATTTATTAACAATTGTTTATTTCTAAAAAAAAGTTGATTGTTTTTCATCAGTTTATTGTTATTTTTCATTATCGAATGTGCTCAAATGCATATTGCCATTGTGAATAATTTTGCCACATGTTTTTTGTCACTGCTCCATTTGTTTTTGCCATTAATTGATCCTATCAATCAGTAACTAAATAAATTCTCCTCTGCCCGAAGAAAAATTTGTTCAATATTTCTCCATTTGTCTTTCATGATCGCGCATTTTTAAAATAATTGTTCTGTTTTTTTTCTATTCTCATCACCTTTCCTAACCCCGTTCCTCTTTACACTCACTTTGAATTTTCTGCCAAATGTGTAGTTCATTGTTCTGGTTAAATCCCTTATGGAGTTGTAAGCTACGTCGAAACACATATCTAGCAGTGCATCTTTTATGTTAATGTGATTATTAAATGTCGTGATTCCACATTTCCTTTGTTTATTCATTATAACCTATATGTTTACCATTAAGGAGATAATAACATATCCTACTTATTTGTTCACTGTTCAATAGTAAAGAATCGCTGTTTGTTTTACTTTCATTTATTTTTATTGATATTGGATTAAGAACATAATCAATTGTATATTTATAAACTATTGTGTATTTTGAATACCATATTGTCAAACTACATAAATATATTTCCTGTACAACTTTTATGAGAAAAAATTCTTAGTTTAGAAATTTCGATGAACTTTTTCTTATTAATTGACATTTCAAGTTAGATAGGAGATAGTCTAGAGTTTAATCAAAACAAGCCATATTCTTACTGATATACTAAGTCTTTGGTACAATTATTTTAAATACGATCTCATTCAAATCTGAAGCTTAGCACACTATAGATAACTTTATTATTACATTGACGGGGATGATTATTAAGTTAATTATGAAAACATTGAAGGTGTAAAAAGAACCGCAAATTTATCAAATACCAAAAGTGTTAATTATACTAATGTTGGCAGCTTATTTCACAACAATATCCCTGAACAGTGATAAAGTTTTCAACTGATTTATGATTCTATAAGTTGACTACTGTGGGGCAGCGTACTAGGTACATGGTCCTTTCCTGAAATTATTAGCTGTCATAAACATACCAGGTCCGTAGCAAATTGATGAAAATGAGACTCAGCACTATGTATACAAATAGATCCCTTTAAGAAATGTTTTATATCTCAAATAGTTAGTCACTGTGAATAAATGTTTGTTATTAGCCAAATAGTCGAACTGAAATATTGACCATTATTTTACATTAATAAACACGATACAGCCATTAGTAAAGAAATATGTACGATTTTTATATTTATATGAATCAAATCAATTTTTCAGTTATGATTTTTGTGATCGTGTTAACATTTTTTCGACACCTGAGGACTCTGAAATAGCAATAAATGCATATGTATTTGACTTACACTATTTACCTTATAATGTATCACACATAAAGCATAAAACTGTACACTACTGGCGCATCACATCCCGATAATAGATCTCTGTATTACAAACGTTTGAGTGAAACTCCATTTCTAAAAATGCAGTAAACACCATAAACTTCAGGAGTATTGGTTATTACTAATTTAATTACTTACCTTCATTCTAACCTGGAATCCGTGTCTTAAACGGCTACTGACCTAGACATGAACCTTCAACAATAATCACCCAATACACTGAAATTACTGACTCCCCCCCCTGGGAATCCAATGCAAAGGAGGATGCACAGTTTTAAAAAGAACGAAGAAAATGACCGTTAAAGAGAATTTAGTAAAAATAATCGGACAGTAACGTAAAGCACGGTAAGCGTCTACGTACTATTGAGAATAAAGTACTAACTCATTAAAAAAAGCTATGTAGTCTATCTGTTAAATGAGAGGTATCATTAAACAGAAGTATACTGATTTTTACAATTAGAGGTAACCGATAGGCACTCAGTAGCACGGAGTTTATGCAACTTCGAGAAACTGAGACTCAGAGGGAATCAAGTCTTCATTACCTAGAGTTACAATCACACAGTTGTTTGTTATTTGTTGATAAAATGCCTATTGTCTTATTTTATTCATGGAATACTAGTGCTACTGCCAATTTTGTAAACTTGTGTGTTTCGCCAATAAGATAATCAATTCCACAGCAGTTAATTTTCTGGCTGCTGTGCTGGTCACCTTGAATCCACGAATTTTTTCCAGGTTCTATGTACACTGCTTCTTTACGAGTATGTATTATCCTCAGCTATAGCTAACATAAAGGGTGACAATTTAAAGTCTAGCGGTCATTTCAAATTATTTTGATCAATACTGATGAATATATAATTGATAGACAGTTGATGATTAATCTGATGCATAGTTTGCTAAAAACATACTATTTTTAGATATACTTATTTAGTACTTCAGTAAACTGCTGTTATTAAATAGAGGGTTGTTTTGTTTTGCATTTTTTAATTAATAATTGTATAAAGCTCAGTATGAAGTAGAAAAATCGTTAACATGTTATATAAAGAATGGTTGGTGATATAAACTATGGGTTTATATATGTCCAGTATCGAATGATTACTACAGAATTACCAAGGCAAAGATAAGAATTGCAAAATGAACATTATACTGGTGAGTAACTATCGATCCCGTTTGTATTGACATTCTAATCTTAATTTTAATGGCGCCCAAGTAATCTACAAAATCAGTATCTTCTAATCGATCATCTTCAAAATGATTTCTAATCATACTTGTTTTTATCTTCAGCAGTTTGTATAAAAGCATGTTGTTTTATTACATATAAAAACCTATTTTTCCTACTGATGATTTTGTCTTTGATATTAGTTCATTCAAGGGGTTGAGCTAATAATTCAGTCTCGTGTACAGGCATCACTCAGTCACACAACCAACCCGCATTTGAACTTTTGCGCCAAATAAATACGAAGTTAATTGTCCGATACACAGAAAATGTTCTAATTTTTTTAAATAAATCGTTTTTATACAGAGATTCCATAAGAGAATCATAGAAAATAATTAACAATTGAATCTCCAAGTAATTAGTTTACAGTATTACTAGGCTTGAAAAATGATGACAATGAAGCTTGTTTACTAGCTGCCGGCTTATTATTCGTGTTCTTTTTGTTTGATTGTTTGGGTGGCTTCTGTAAAAGTAAAGTGAATTAAAACATTAAAAATTGGAATATCATACCTATGGAAGCAACATTAATAAACAATGTGAAGAACTGTGAAACAATTGTTGTGGATAATCTTAGCTACTTATAAGTAGTATGAATTATTTGAACAGAATTCACCACATTTTACTTTAAATGGAACCAAAGCTCATGAAAAATTAACCAGAATTTTGGTATTCGTTAAAAACATTTACACATTCATGTGTCGATTCACAGCCTCAGATGGGAATAATAGAGTTTAACAACTGTTGTTGCGGATTTTCTGTAGAAATAATATACCAAAATACTGAAAGCTTCATTCACACTAACTGTTCAAGTTGAACAAAATATTTCCCAATATGATATTTAAAAAATAACAAAGGCTTGTTTCCTAGACATTATCAATGTAAAAACAGCAATATACTGCCGTTAAATTATGTGCCGTACACTAGTAAACTGCTATCATAATGACCATAAATCTAATCTTAGAGCCACCACAACAAAACGCTTGGCTGTGCGCTATTCCCTTTTTATTCTTAAGAAGTTTAAAAATGAGACTTTAAATCCTTCATGACTAGTTTATATTTTCTAAGTAATACGGAAAGGCCCTTATTAGAAGACCTAAACTTCAAATTAAAATACCCAGACCAGAATTAAATAAGTTCGTAGTTTGATGAACAGTACATGCAAGTGTAAGTACTCAGAATATTCTTGTTTGAGTATTTTCAACAATCGGTATCGTAGATAACCATGTTACTTACCTTCGATTAATAAATGCATAAAAGTGCATGTAATCAGCAACTTTATTTGGTACAAGGAGGCACTAAAATCCGGCATTCGATTTATGTGAGCGTTTGGGATACTGCCGGAGAGCCAAAAGCGTAATTAGCTACAAACGACATCACACTTTTCAATGACGAGAAACCAAAAATGTACTCACGTGAAGGTTAACTGTTTTTCCTGGAGATTCGCAGTTTCAAGACATCCACCATGGCTAAGGAATTTTATTCTGAGTGTTTGAAAACTAAGTTATTAGCATTACCTAAAAGTGTAAACCTAGCTTTGGTTATCTAGGAGTTTCACTACGGCTTTAAAGAGATTAACAAAGCAAACACCTGTTTTCTTCCAGTACTGTTCACTTTTAATAGATACGTTTTTAACCCACTTGCTCAGATATTAATTTGTTAATAGAAGCCATATATCATAATAATCGGAAAGTTTGATGCTTTTTCCAATGACATAGTAACGAAGTAAATCACCTAATGCTGTAGTAAGGTCAAAAAATCTTATGTAATATTACTGAATAATTTTCTTTTGAAAGTGATAGGTTAATAAAAAAAAGAGTGACCATAATTCCTACTTACAGTCTGTTGAATCGTTGGTGGTGCAGTTAGAGAGACAGGATTATCAATTTTCGGTTGAACAACCCGTTCATTTTTCTCATTTTGATCCATACAAGGAAAGGGTGCTGTTGTCGGTTTAGCGGTTTCATCATCTGATGAACATTCCCAGCCTTTTTCCGTAACTAAAATATATATATCACACTTGTAAAGCATTATTGTAAGAACTCTATTTTTAATACTAATGCAGCATGATGATATAACAATAAAAACTAAATAATCATACACTTTAGTGGTAAAATCAACCACATAATTGTCCACTATTAACAATAGTTTCGGAAAAGTTTACCCATAAAGCCATCTTCATCTGCAAACGTTTTCATTACTTGGTGACGAATACGATTTAAACCAGCAGCACAGCTAGATTTCTCAGTTCTTGAATTTTCTTCACACTTAATCGGTGTTGACAAAGTTTTAACACCGATTTTTTTAACATTGTCGGGTGATTTTTCAGATTGTGTAGGCTCCATGAGAAATGAATCAGCTTCTGAATCAGAAGCTAATACTTTCTGTTTATCTGAGAATGCGAATGAAAACAAATACTTTTGAACTAAAAACATATAATGTAAGATTATAAACGTCTATATACTCTACTATGCATCAAAGCCATGATACTGAAGAATTATTGTTTATATTGAAATATTTGGCGACTGTGTAACCGACCATTATCCCAGCAAAAGGATTGCGCTCATATATTCAGTTACTCCGGGCTTCGGCCAGGGTGTGCTCGGATACAGTGGTGACAAGTTAATTTCATCATTCTGAAACCCTGACTTCGGCAGCTTGGACATACTTCATGCGAACCCAACGGCTTTCACATGGAGCATTAATTCCTGACGCTGCGACTCGGTGGAAAAAAGAAAGGGTTAGTTTATGACATGGCACTGTGGTATGAAATATAACTATATAAGACTGTCATATGTTAGTATATCACAACATCTCACTTGTGGTCCTAGATACGATGCAACTTAACAGCTTGACACTTTGTCAGATATGAATCAGGACATAAGCCAGTGACAATTCTGTTTTAGTTTTGTCACAAAAAGTGAAATGAACTTCTTTAACTGAGAAAAATCCGTTTTGACTATATTTTTAACTGAACTATATCCTTTATACAATAATGTTTCTCCTTATTTATTCATAGATTGTATTATATATTCCTATTAACTTATTTAAACAGTGCGATTCGGGCACCCTAGTTACATGTTATTAACAAATAATAACAGTCATCTACAATGTAGGATCAGGCACATATATGCATCGATCCAAGTCACCATACCTCATTTGCACAACAAGATGAACACCAAATTCATAGAAGCAGTTACTTCAATGGTAGTAAAAAAACATGTCATATAAGGAAGAAGGAAATGGTTCGTAGAAAGAGAAATATATGGCGATTTCGGTCTCACGGTTCAAGAGGAAACAAAGAGTATATACACCTAAGCCATTGTGATCGATTCTGAGCCATATCACCCAGAGTCTTCAACCATTGGTTGCAATAGTCACACCGATCCCAACCAAGTGGTCCGCATCTATCAACATGGCCTAGACCAGAAGTTAGTGACTTCAAACACTGATGCCACGTTTTGGTTTGGCCACCCCTAACTTCCTTCCATTCGTCTCCAACACAAGTCAGCATGGCTCGACGTGGCAATCGGTGTTCAGGCATACGTAACACGTGGCCCAACCATCTCATTCGATGAAGATTCACAACCTCATCAACTGATCTACCATCATTCCCTAATACCCTGCGTCTAACATCACTATTACTTACCCGGTGATCCCAGTAGATGCAATCAATATTTCTAAGACATCGGTCATTAAATACTAGTAACTTACGAGTATCCTCTAATCTTAATGGCCACGTTTAGCAGACGTAAAGTAGAACAGAACGAACTGCTGAAAAGTATACTCGTCCCTTAATTGATAGATAGATATCTCGCCTTCGCCATAAGTGACGTAAGTTGGCAAAAGCCAAACAAGGTTTGTGAACCCGTGTGGAGATTTCCTCAGACACCAACCCATTTGGGCTGATCAGACTTCCTAAATGAGCAAAGTTGTCGACGCGTTCGACTACTTCACTCCCTATCCTTAGTTCAGGTGTTGATGCAGACTAGTCCTGAAGCAACAACTTGCATTTAAGTGGCGAGAAACGCATCCAAAATTTACTCGACGACAAAGTTATTTTCAGCAGTTGGTTTATGACGAAACTGAACAAAAATCCAGATAATGGACAGTTTTGCCGGACACCACTTGAGGTAACAAAATCAGATGACAGTTCGCCATAAGCTCTGACTCGACTAGTAATGTTCGAGTGAAGAACCTTCACAAGGTTTATGTACTTCTGAGGTATGCTTTTCAATGACAGACACTGCCACAGGACCTCTCGGCCAACAGAGTCCAATGCTGCTTTTAAGTCAAGAAAAACTATCATTGTCGGACGCCAATATGTTTGTGTTTAAAATATGATGAATAGTGAATATGTGGTCGATGCAGCCTCGAACAGGTCTTAAGCTAACCTGATTTTATCGTGTTTGCAGTTCACGAGTCTTTGTTAGGCGTCCGATAATTATTGAGGCTGACATTTTAGATGCTGTATTAGTCAAACTAATCCCTCTGTGGTTGTTAGAGGATGATTCTGATCCCTTCTTATATATTGGGACAATCAGTGATTGCGAACAATCAGTTGAGATTACATTCAGTTCCCAGATTTTAGCTAAAATATTAGCCAACCTAATCACTAAAACTGAACCACCATACTTAAAGACCTCCGGAGCCAATCCATTTGGACCAGCTGCTCTTCATCGTTTCAGATAAGCTATAGCTTTTCGAATTGGAATTAGAGACAGAGGCCTACTCCAATGTTCCATTCAGGCTGTTTGGGAGTGGTGGGTAGTTGTAGAGCAGCTGAAGGTCAGCTGAACTGCTCACTAAAATATTCCGCCCATCTTTCTAAACGTCTGGACTGAGAGTAGACAGGTGTCATCTTTTCCCGAGATAGTCTCACTTACACTTGACTTCTTTATTACAGTTTCCTTTATTAGTCTGAAAAGCTGTCTGGTGTTACCTACAGTCGCTGCTTTTTCCATCTCTTTTGCTTTCGTTGCCTACTACTCCTCATGGTCGTTTCTTAGACATTTGGTTAACCTAGATCGGACTTGTTTTCGCTCTTCATCGTGTTCAGAGCCTGATGGGATGAGTTTACGAGAATCCATCAGTCCAATAGACCTTGAAGAAATCCATTGGTTCTTTGTAACCCTGTGGTTTAAATCACTAATAGATGTCACTCCGATTTCCACAGCTGTCTGTATATCTTTTCAAGCAACATCTGGGTCAGCTTCGTTAAAAACGAAGCTGCCTTAGTGTGACCGCAGTTGTTCCTGGAATCTAATTTCGGCTTTCTCGTCACTGAGTTCAATTCTAATGGGTCCATTTAAATAACAAAAATTCATTAATTACTGATTTTACTACTTTTTAAACCATGCTCACAAGGGTTATAGCCCCCTAAACGACTCAAATAAAAATCTAATGCCTTTAAGTAATAACATGTCTGAACCACTCCATCTTAAGACTTCCAACTCAATACTAATCCATAATATATTGAGCGCAAATTCCACCTTCGAAAAGTACATTCTGTGAGACAGTTTAGTTATACTACTGCTTCATACGCGTAAACGATGCTCAAAAGCGACAACAATATACGTAAATTGTATCTCTCCCCCATAAATGTTTAAAAACCGTCTGCCAGAAGTACACGTCGAATACTCAACAGAAAAGTTTAAATAACTCCAATTACCATAAAAAAATCTGATTACCTTTTCTGCGAGTAGGTCGCTTTTTCTGTATATCATTGTTTCTAAGTTTCGTACTTGCCTTAGAATTAAATAAATTAGTAGACACGCAGTCCTTAGTCACTGTACTACTTTCTTCTTTTTCTTCATCGGATTCAATGACAATACATTTCCGCTTTTGCGAAGAATCTAAAAATACGCATAAAAAGTATGGTTGGGTGAGGTGTTACATGTGGTTTTCAAACCAAATTCTTCGTCTTCGTCCGATACATCCAGTTTCCCACTTTCTACTGGCTTAGGAATCCTAAAATAATAATATTACAGACAGAGTAAGAAAACTAATAATGATGTACATGTTATTCTTAGTGCTTGTTGCTAAATAATTTTCAAGCGTTTTATCTACAGAAATGAGTATATAACAAATAGTTAACTAACCATCCTGGACAGACTTTTCAATCTTACTGAAAAAGTTTTTGAAATCTGAAGTTTTAATTTTCTTATTGGATCCACCTAATTTTGTTGAGCAATCCCAGTAACTTACTGGTAGCAAGACTCGGTAACACAGGAGAATCAACATGTTCCGGTGTTTTTTGTGCAGTCTCTTGATTTTCTCGACATGGCAGTGGATCAGAAGATGACTCCCACGGAATACTAGTTAATCTAAAGAGAATCAGTTACAAAGCAGTACATAAAATATACACGAGTGTAAGTATTATAGATTTGAACAGTCTCAAAGAAGTGAACTAACCTTTTTAATTGATCTGTAGAAATATTATGCAATAAATCGTAGCAAGCCAATGATAAAGAATCCTAAAAGTTACTTATTAATTTACTTGTCAACAGAAACACCTTGCATTGTCGGCGTTGTATACTATACACAACACATTTAGGTGGAAACGAGAACGACTTCTGAGCCAGTGATAACTGGTCTGAATTGGCCAACTTAACTAATATATCATTTTGTTTACTGATCCCAGTCAGTAGATATACAGATGCCAAGTTGTCACGTGCCTGGATATATGCCGCCATCAAACTAAACGAATATGCGTACATATATATATCTATTGAGAACCAGATAGATTACCGTCTCGATGCATCTATATTCAAGTCGAAAGTGATAGATAACCAACTTGCAGTAATCTAGAAAATAAAAGTTATCTGGTGCATATCAGTACGCATACAAATCCATCTTCATCTTCTAGCTTCTCGTCAAGATTTTCGAAAAGTAGTTGATCCCCCATTATACATTTAATGGATCTGAATAAGACTGTGTAAACACGAAATATTAAAGGATTGATTATACAAGGTTAACTAAGATTAAAATTTCCAGTTTGCAAAAGTTAAGGTTTAAAAATAAATGCCAACTCAGACTCTTGCTTTTGTATATCTAAACTTGAAAATATAGTCAAATACAGCAATTAAGTAAATGCTTATGTACTGGGTTTGGAATTGCATTTAATCAGATGAAGATATCTGTTGTATTCTCAATGATACACGCAAAGCTGTGTTTGAACTCAAAAGTTATGTCACAATCTAGCCGGTTAGGACTAAACAATAATGGTGTGCGCATTAGTGACCAACTTCGGCGAATTTTCGAAAGTCTTGTCAGAAGTCGTGACTGGTCTTCATTAAGCAAGTGCAAAAGGCATCATTAACGTGCTAAACCTAAAGCTGATAAAATTCCGAAATGTAAACCACAGAATTCCAACCCAGAGGTGTAAAGAAAATAAGCTCGCTTCAACACCTGAAGGTACTAGTCCTAATTCCTGGTAGAATAACCAGTGGACGCCCCTAAAGAGTTACCGACTGAAGCGAAAATCATTTGTTCTTAAGTTTTTCATGGTGCTGCAACCCATAAGTCTGACAAAAACAAACTTAACTAATTTGATCTCCAAAACCAACTACCTAGATTCTGAACCTTTTAAGTACTTTAAACGTGTTTAAATTATCGAACTTTAAAACCTTATAATCAATGAACACAAACTTCACTTGAAATAAACGCAGATCGTGGCACGAATTTAACTAGACAACCGTAGTAAACGACGGCCAAAAACTTTCGCTGGCGCTAAGAAGCTGGTTTTCATCGGTTCACCATAAGTATTAAATTTAATTAGACTACAAGTAGTAATATATATATATATATATATATATACATGGATATTTTGTTGAATTTCTTATTTACGTAGTACCGAAGTTCCAATAAAGTTCACTAGGACTATCGTCAGAATATATTCGAATGAATAATTGGTTCGGTGGACAAACTCGTGTAAAGACTTTGGACCATCACCTGACATCAAGACAAATATAGACTTGTACAAACTCGTTACAAGGAACATACAATCAAACAACGCAGGCTATCTAGGAGTGACATTTGGATCAGAGATAACATCCAAAGTATGACGAAGTCGTATGACACTACAGATTTAGTGGATAATGATTTGAGCTATGACATGTTACAGTTCAAACAAATGCAGTTTACTAAAGTCGCATTATACCCAACAACCAAACTGGACACACTTATCACAACCACGAACTTTAGTTATTAAAACCAAAGATAGGAAACATGAAAACGTGAAGTAGAATAACTTTGATCAAATCACCGAAATTTCCAAGTTTTGGGGTAATCACAAGCAATATCAGTGATCTAACCAACCAACTAATCGATGACTTTTAAACAAAAATTACGCTCCTCACTGAACAAACCTAATGACAGCTGTAATGAGCAACTCAATCAGTTGCCTGGAACAGCAATTAATTGCCGCTGGAGTAAACCCCGCTGAGATGCGTGAATATAATCTCACCTCAATTAGCTCCTAACTACTTGCAACTGCTCAACCAGATGTATCAATCCAAACAATTATCCAATAATTTTCACGTCAATGTCGTCAGTATCTCACCAGTGTAGCACGTACTATTAGCGTTCACTTAGAAGCAATAGAGATCTAGAACACAACACAACAGTCAGGACCGGTAAACACCACTGAAGTAAGAATGCGACGTACTGGCACAACAGATATATATTTAAAAATTGAAAGACGCGGTTCGAGTACAAAAAGGGAAACTTATTACAAAATGGATTTATTCATTGTTCTGCAGGTCCAGCTTGCGTAGGACCTGTTCTCTCCTTCCAGTACGTTTATTCTTTCCTGCCCTGCAATACGGAAAACAAACCCACATAAGTAACTTTCATACCGTTACACCAGTCCCATTTAAGTCTTCCGCGCGACTCCAACCGTCAGACGATGTCGATGTTGCGTTGAAGTGAAACTTGAGCAGAAATGGCTAATTGTTAGCCTCTTGAAGTTCTGCTCTTTATGATTAAAAGGCTGAACCCTTGTTTCATCCCTTTAAAAATCGAAAGATCGAGTTAACAATACAAAGGGGAATGCTAGAAGAAACACTTGTATCCCCTCTCATTAATTTTGAAAATTAAATCATAACGAGCTTTTTATTAAAATATTGGGCGATTCGCACCCAGCCCGAAGGAACCGTGGGTGCTGAGGGAGTGTGCGGAGAAGCGTGTTTAACGAATGTAGCGTTCAATTTTATACTTACCTTCTCCTGTTACTTCTCGTGGGGCAGCATAGGCTTCTGGCAAGCATTTTCTATCCATCTCTATTCTGGTCAGTCGTTTCCAGTTGCTATTCATTCTTTTCACGTCTGCTTCCAGTTCCCGACGCCACGTGTTCATTAGTTTTCCGCTTTTCATTTTCCCTTCAGGATACCAAGTTAGCACTTGCCTCGTGATAAGTTTGGATGATTTCCGAAATAGATGCACATCCCCATCCAGCATCTTGCCATAATTTCCTCCCTAACTGGAAGCTGGTCTGTATTTCCCCACAATAAGTTGTTGGTATTCGATCAACAGAAATTGAGTATCTTACGTAGACAAATTTTTATAAATAACTGTACTGTTTTGATAATTGTCGTAGTCATTCTCCAAGTCTCAGCGTCACACAGTAGAACTGCCTTGACGTTCACATTGAAAGTTCTGACTTTGATGTTGAATGACATTCGTTTTTAGTTCCATATGTTCTTCCCCTGCAGGAATGCTGTCCATGCTTTGACAATCATTGCCTTAACATCTGCGTCAGTCCTCTCTCTTTATCGATTATGCTGTCCAGGTACATTGAACTTTCCACTCCTTCCATTGATTCTCCATCAAGTGTGATCGTGCTGTCAATCTCTGTATTGTATTTTGGGATCTCGCTATTTTCCTTGCGTATATTCAGACCTACTCTTGTAAAGCCTGATGCTACATTGGCTGTCTTCACTCGGATTTATTACTGTGTATGAGATAGAGAAACTTGATCACCTATGAATTCCAAATCATCTACTTGCATCCAAGATGTCCATTGTACTCCGTGCTTCCCATGGGATATGGACTTCTTCGTCATCCGGATAACGATCAAACGAAAGAGGAAAGGCAAGAGTATACAGTCTTGTCTGACACCGGTCCTCACTTGGGATGCATCTATCAGCTATCCTCTTTGCACAGCATTTCAGTCCGTCTTGTGAATTCCGTATGATGTTGACAATTTTCCTAAGTACGCCATAGTGTCAAAGATGGCTCCATTAATTTCTCTTATCCACACTGTCATACGCTTTCTCATATTCAAGGAATTTGACCTATGGTTACGAGTTCCATTCAATCGAATGCCCATCGACGATCCATTGTGTCTCGAAGTAGTCAACACACTATCAATCCTTACAGAATCCAGTCTGTTGATCTCGAGGTCGGGTATCTACTGGATCTCATCGTGCTCGACAACACTCTGTTGAAAACGTTCTCCAATAGTGACAGCACTAAGATTTCGCTGTAGTCCTCACACTTGCTCAGATCTCCTCTCCATCGTATCTTGATGAATAACCCTTCATTCCAGTGTGTCGGTGGCACTTGTTCTTCCCGCCAAATCCTTATGAATAGAATGTGGAGCACCTTTGCAATTAATTCTCTGTCTGACTTCAGTGCGTCAGCTAGTATGCTGTCTGGTCCTCCTACTCTCCCACACTCGATCTGTTTGATGGTCATGCTGACTTCTCCGACGGTTGGTGGTGTGACATTTATGGTAAAGTCTGTATGTGTTGCTACGATGTATGGAGAGTTCAGTGTGTCTGATCTATTCAAGAAATATTCAAGGTTCTCTACCCACTTATTCCACCGTTCCTGAATCTCAGTGATTATCTTCACTTCCTTGTTGTTGACTAGTCTGTCTAGTTTACTATCTTTAGCTACTACATTCTTTGTTGAATCACACAGTTGTCTCAAATGTTCGTCATTCATCTCCTGTTCGACGACAATGTTAAAAACGTTTCTTAATGCTCATAGTAATGTGATTTCTCTGTAATTTACAAACTCGCTCAAACTTCATCTCCGTGGTGTTTTGATGAGATACCCTTCTTTTTAGTGGTGATTATATCCGAAGGTTTGAAGGATTCGTTTAAATTTATTTATGTTGAATTTTCGGTTACAGTAACACATGTTTAGATTTATTTCTTCCGGCGTCTACCACTTCTGAAGCTTTAAAAACGCTTTCAGAAATCTGTCTGTTTGATTTTACCCTCACTTTAATAGATTTTTTGTATTGCTCTCTCTGTGTTGAATAAAAGTGTCAAGCGGCATGCACTAGGGTTTATTGGAGCCTTAGCCATACAAAAATTCAAACCCCCTTTGTGTATTCAAAAACAGTTTGTTCTCACCTTAAACCTACCCTGGTAATATTGACTTATTAATCAGTGTGATCAGGTTTCAAATTGTGTTCACATTATTATCATTACTATTATTATTACTTTTTACCCCTCTTACGTCATTTCGAGTATAGTTGAACTTTTATTTTTATATATAAATGTTCTTAACAAGTATATGTGTGATCAGATTGTTCGAAATGGACTTCGCTAATATATCATATAGTTCTGATAATCTTAGTCTTCTTACTACATTATCGAAAATCAATAAAGCCAGATGAACTATACACTAAACTCTTGACACAAATAGCACAATATATTGCCACAATACTGACAATGATATTCAATTTATCGGTTGGCACGGATGAGTTATCGACCGACGAAAAGGATGCACTTGTCACTCCAATTCTCAAAACAGGACCAAGACAACTTCCATCAAACTACAAAACTGTCAGCCTCACCAGTGTCGTAGTTAAAATATCATAAAGAATAATCGAAAAAGCCATAATGGCACTCGAGGAAACAAACAGCTTGTTAAACAGAGAACAATCTGGTTTCAGAAAAGGTTTATCTCGAACAACGA